AAACAACATGCTTTCCAACGACGAATTCCCCATGTTCAAGGGGGTATCACCGTGTCACGCGAGAGTGGATTTCTCATCCGGGTCTCATAGCACAACTGCGTAATAGCAGAGGATAAGCAATCGCACACATCTTTCTCATGTTGAACATAGTAGTTTGGCTTGGGGCACAAGAAACTCACAGACGAACCCCGAGGGAGGCGGCGATCCGAGGTGTGAAGCTGCCCTGCTCGGTGTCCAAGTACCAGCTGTCCTTCTTCGTCGCCACCACCGAGCGCCGGAACCTGAGCTCCCGAGCTGAGTGCTCAGGCTTGACACCGCAGCAAACCCCCCATACAACGTGTTTTTGTTTGCTTCCGCGTTGCCTTTCAACTTCAAGAAGCCAGGCCGGGGGTTGGTTCAGAGGGTGGTTTTGGGTGCGCCAGGCCCGCGAAAGCTGGTGGAGCATCCTTTCAAGCGCGCAGCTGAGTCGTGGCGGGGCGGCCTTTCTGTGGTTGGTGGTCTGGTCATCCACCTGCCATTGGCAACGGCGGGTGCCAATTTCTACGTACGCTGTTTCCCTCTTCGGTGTTGTCGTGAACAGTTAGTTCAGCGCGGCTGGCTGGGCTGATGGCCCACACAGTCGGTTCATCACCTTCAACCGGCCCTGTCCCTGATGAGTCTGTGGGGACTCGACTTCGGTGGAGTTTCACTCAGGTACATCATCAAGTCGACAGAGTTCGGGAGCCCAGTGCAAGTGGGCCTTGCACGACAGTCTAGTTTGCACAAACATATTGGGTGTTTCTCAAAATTGATGTTGGACCCTCTTTGGTTGGTATTTAACAGGAAGCCAAAAGGAAACCAATAATTTGTGCAGTTTGTTTGTTTGTTTGTTTGTTTGTTTGTTCGTTCGTTCGTTCGTTCGTTGGTGTGTGTGTGAGTTGTTTTTTTGGATTTTGAGCTGCGGCGACTAATCAATGCCCGACCGATTGCGTGATGTCCAACCCACAGATGTACAGGTGGTTCAGCTCCTTCTGGGATCAGGGGATGCGATATGCTGCCACCATGTTTTCTAAGTTGTGGATCCTCGGACCGATGGATGAATTGGGGCCACCCAAAAGTCCGCGGAGCAGAAGGAAGCCCAAACGGAGTCCTGGCGCCTCCTACACTCCTTTCAAATACAAAAAGGGCTTTGACTAGAAAAACCAATGGATGGGTTTGGGGTTCCGTGTGAGCTTCACTAGAGTTCCTTAAAGGATTCATTTTGGCCGAGTTTAACACCGCCTTTACACGTATCAGGTGATTTTCCAAATTGTGTCCTTTGCGGGACCCTGTTCACCGCATTTTTGAACGGAGGTCGAGCCCGTGCCCGGTGAGCAGTATCGAGCATCCGGCCTTCCAGAATTTCGGGTTCTGCCCCCTGCCAGCGCCCGAGCCAGTCGACGGGTCAGTCTGCCAGGGACATCAACAGTTGTTCCTTGCAGGGGGGCGCCGCCTGCACCTCTTTAAAAGGTCCCCCCTATGCTTCTTCCTGAAAAGGGCGGTTCCAAACATTTCAGCACCAACAGTTGAACAGGCCAATTTCTAGCTGGTGGTGATGATTGATTGTTGGGAATACAGGCAACCACAAATGAGGCCGGTTGGAAACAGGAAACCGTAGCCTGTGTCATTTGGAAGGCTTCGCACCAAATCCCGTGGCTCTAGGGTTGGTGGCAAAATCACCCTGTAAAAGGACTCCCGAAGGAGATTTTGGTTGGCCCTAAAGTGCTGAGGGGGTCATGTCCATCATTAGGGTCATTTGAGTAGACCCCCAGAATCTCCTTTGGTGTTTGAAAGCTGACTGCCGTTGCAGGCAGCCCTTAAGTTCTTGAAGATGCATCAATGCGGTCGTTGGGACAACGCCCCTTCACTCAGTCACAGATGGGGGGTGTATAGTGCCCCTTTTGGGATTGTTTTGAAGGGAAGCCAAAAGGAAACCACCCATTTCAGGGTTTCCATGTCCAATGTTGAGACAATCCCAGAGGGGTCCACCCCCAAATTGGCGCCTAGACTCAGGGCCGCGGCGGCACAGCCACTGAACGTGACGCTTCTGGCGCCCTTAGAGTATGGGCTGCTGCCCGGCTCTGTGCACCTCTGCACTCCAAAGCTCAAATTGGGCACGGGCCAGGGCGCGATTCGACTGGTCTAAGCACTCCAAAGAGGGTTAAACAACACATCCCCGAAGCAGGTTCACACCGCCCTTGCTACCTTTGGCTTCCTTTTGGAAGGGGAGCAGGCCGCTTGTTGGAACACATTGGCCCCCATGGTCTACAGCAACAAGATCCCTGGTCAAAAGCCTTCATGGGTGAGCGAGTTTTGCAGCCAGGTGAGCATATGGAGGAAAATTGCTCATTTTCCAAATCCTTCCTTCCCCCAAACTTTTCCCTGATGTTTTCTTGGCACGGCTTGCCTGGAACCATTGGGGTTTTGCTCCGATATTTTCACCCCCTCCAAAAATGGAATTGGGGGATAAATGGATTTTTGGGGCCCGTTGGTTGCGCCCAGGTACTTTTTGGTCTACCTGCCCGGCCAGGGCCTTGACCCAGATCCCGAGCCCGTGGGGGAGGTGCCCCGGTCCCAGCTCTTCCAACTCCTCCAGGCGGATTCCGAAGAGGCGCAGACCGCCGTCGTTGGAAGGTGTGAGGACGTGGGGTTGAAGGGCTGTGGCCGTTGTTTTTGGGTTTGTCGGTTAAAGGGCTGTGGCCGTTTTTTTGCGTTTGTTGAGACACTAGAATCTACCAAGATGTGACTTTGGGTGGCCCCAAGGAGACCTTTGATTTCTAGGCGGATAGCGGGAGCAAATCCCCAAAGCGAGAATTGACGCCCACGTCTCGACGAAGGCTGTATTAATCCCGACCATGAACAGTTGGAATCCACTCGAGAATGGTTGGTTGACAGTATTCCAGCACGGAGTTCTCACAATGGAATTCGGCACCCCTTTTGCTTGGTATTGAAAAGGAAACAAAAGGAAGCCAACCAGTTTAGGGAGCCCTATCAAAGGCCCCTAAAATAACTTCCGGTGAGTTCGCAGGCATGAGGGAGCGAGTTTGGTCTCCCAACCCTGCTGTTGTGAGAATCGCCTCATTTTTGCGAGCCCAATAGACGATGTGTAACATTTCTAACTGTACCCTTCTTTTCCATTTGTAGGAATAAGGTTGGAGAGCCCACTTCTGTGATACAAGAAAAAGGTTATTCCTGCAAGTGAATGAATAGTCATTCAGAATACTGGCAATGCCCGCATCCCCTGGCTACCCCTCCTTTGCCCTCAGCATTCGAGATCATTCTCTTCTGACGCCAAACGCCATGGACAGTCTCCGACTGAAAGGAGATGGATAGGCATCAACCCTGGGAGAGCCCCGGACCTTTGGGCAATTGAGTTGCTTTGAGGTTTTGGCATGTGAGGTTCTGTCAACAAATTCAGGCAATCGTCCCCTGAGGGGCATCAAAGAACTCACGCATTTTCTTACAAAAGCCAGGGGACTTACTCAATTTTCCATGTTATCAACACCAAACTTGAAGCTTTTTGATTCCCAGTTTGGGGTTTCCCAGGCCCCCTGGTTGGCAAAACAAATTTGCCTGATCAACATCAAGCGGAACATGTCTCCCCCAAACAGCCCAGTTTTGGGTGCAGATTTGCACATCACCTACAAAGGGCAGGAAGCCTCAAAAGGACGAACCCAGTTGCTTTTGAGCCAAAGAAGGTGTCCGAGGCAAAGAGACGCCATCCAAAGTTAAAGGGCAAACAAAGGTGTCATTTTCAAAGCGGAGCAGATGCCCAACCCTGACGTTCTGTGTAACCACGACAAAGAATCCACGCCCCGCCGGCCACCCGTCTCATTGCGGAGGCAGAGCAGGCTGCTTTGGAGAGCGACCTCATCAAAACTCGAGGCGTTGTTTTCTGTTTTTCTGGACGGCGATGTCTTTGGGCAGGTGGCACGTTCCTTACATGTTCCCTTTTTGATGGTTTCCAAATGTTAAAACGTCCTTCTGGTCTGAGTTTGCCCGTGGGGATGTTTAAAGATGCCCTGGCGACATGGTCGGATGAGGTCCGACCAGAATGGCAAGAAAATCCATAGTCCATCTGCCGTTCGTGGCATGGAGCCAGAAAACTTCCCAAGCAGAACAGACTCATTTTCACGTGGGAGCTTGAAAACGCCAGAGCATGAGGCTTGGATGCATACTTTGACAGTGGCTCAAGTTTAGATAATGTTTTGCAGCAATCTAGACCACTCACAATGAGTGACGGTTTTTTGCCAAGGCTGCTAGGGCGTGTTGATGACCGCCCTGCGGTTGAATCCAAGCCAATCCAGGAGCCCAGTGAATTCAATGTCAATGCCAAAGTTGCAGAAGACAGCTCTCAGCTTTACCAAGCCTGTGCCAGCGGTGATCCAGTGAACGCCAAGAGGCTGCTACTTGTCAAAGTCGACGTCAACAGCACTTCCGACTATGGCGGTCGGACTCCCTTGCATGTGGCTTGCGGATGTGAGCTTGCAGGTGCCAAAGAGGTGGTGAAGCTCTTGTTGGACCACGGTGCAGATGCAAATGCCCGCGACAAGATTGGTATGACGCCCATGGACATCACGATGAAAACCGGGAATCGTTCCATCCGAAAAGTCTTGGAGGCACGTGGCGTGGAACTTCAATTGGCCTTGGAACAAAAGGCGAGAGAGAGCTCCTGGCTGATGAAATCCTCCGATTTCAAGCTTAGGAAGGAACTTGGAAACACCTTGAAGAGTGTGGTGCATTTGGCAGACTGGCATGGAACGACGGTTGTGGTGAAGTGCATCAAGTTGCAGCATCGTGTCGTCATGAAGAAGCTCACAAAGTCGCGGAGCCTTCGTCTGTCACTGGACAGTGATGCATTGGAGGCATTGGAGGCGTTGGAGGCAGTGGAGGATCCAACCGAGTTGATGGCGCCAACCGAGTCGGACCCAGAGCTCGAGCAGGCTTGCGCTGAAGAGCTGCTTCACGAGATCCAATTGCTGTCCTCGTTTCGACACCCAGACTTGGTCCAATTCCTGGGCGCGTGCTTGGAGCCTGACATGCCAGCCATGTTTGTCACCGAGTACATGCCCAAAGGTGATGTTGAGCACTACTTGATGGACATGCGGAACAAGAAGCAAACTCCACATTATGCGCCGCCCTTGTGGCAAACACTGGAGTGGAGTTCGGCAATCGCTCGTGCGTTGGCCTTCCTTCACCACATTCCCGTGGTCCATCGAGATTTGAAGCCACTGAACCTGCTTCTAACCAAGACTTTGGATGTGAAGGTCTCAGACTTTGGCATTTCCAAAGCCATGGGGGTTCGACGAGAACAGGGCATCGAAATGCAGCCTGTCACCAGCATGAAGCGTGTCAACAGCAACCTGTCCACCATGACCCTGGGAGTGGGGACATACACCTATATGGCGCCGGAGGTAGTGAGGACCAACAACTACACTGAGAAGGTGGACATCTTTTCCTTCGCACTGATCATGTTTTACCTCAGCTCAGGCAAAAGGCCCTTCTACACTTTCACCAACCCCAGCGACGTGTTGGACCTCTTCGCGGCCGGGCAGGAGCCGCGCCCCAATGCCTCTGAATGTCATAAGGTCTTGCGACCCCTGATCGAAGAGTGTTGGAAGGCGGAGGACCGCCCCTCAGCTGAAGACATCTTGGTGACTTTGCAAGACATGAAGACTTCCCCGTCCTGGTGTGGGCTCAAGATCTCTTGAAGAAGTGACCTCGGTTTTCTCTTGTGGCTTTGCATGTATAGCTGCATGGCCTTAGTTTCAAGTGCCTCTACTCTGCAACGAAACTGTTGTGGCACAAGCTGGTTGTATGATCCCCGCGGACTTGATCCCCAAGGACTTTTGAAGCGTTCCAGAATGAGAGGACTCTCTTAGCGAAAAGCAAAAGGATACTTTGACATCCATTGGCTTCCACAAGTCGGAAGGCGGCCAGAAATCTGCATGCCCACCGTGGTTTGGCTCGGCGAGTCGGTTTGTCTCAAAATTGGGACCCCCCCGTTTGTGCCGGTGGCAGTGCTCTGGTGATTTGTTTTTAAGCAGGCTCCTGTAAGGGATCCGGTGTTTTCTTTCCTAGGGCAGGAAATTTGCAGAAGGGGGAAACCGTGGTAGTACACTTTTGTGGTGCTCTTTTTGGCGGAATATATGTTCAAACGAAGCGGACCACCAAACGAAAACACAACAAACAACAAAAACACCAAAAAAAGACTCAACAAAACGAAACCAAAACACCAAACACCAGCAACAAAACAAAACCGCAAAACCAAAAAGCCAAAACCAAAAACAACCAATATTTCAAGATCCATGTTTGTTTTTTGGATTTGTTTTTGGTTTTATGTTTTTTTTGTTTTTGGTCGCCCGGCGCTGCACCCAACAAAACACTAGACGGGATTCCCTCATTTCGAACGACGAACGTCTGACGCATGGCAGATCCGCTCTTCCAAGAGGAGTTGGACAGATCTCAGCTGGCAGCTCAGGGTTGATCCAAACGGCTCACTACATCTGGGCACAGGGTTCCATTTTTGATTACTACACGCAGAGGTTTATCTTTTCGGGAGATCAACCGCCCCGGTTTAAGACTACCTGTGCGCAATCAACAAATTGAACCCTGTCTGGGCAACTTGTGTCAATTCCACCGATCCGGGGATAAAACAAGCGATTTAACCCATGATGAAAGCTCCTTGTGGCGGGAGTTCTTGTTTCAGTCGCGGATTGTAGTAATTTTGCCCAGACAATGTGTCAAAATCGGCTGCCCCTGCTTGCTCTATGCCGAAATGAAATCAACGCGAATCCAGCCAAGAGCAGTGCGAATTGGCATTCTTGAAAGGGCACTTTTAGCACGCAGTTGAATTCGTGACCATCTTGGTGGAACCTGAGGTCAAAGGGTCCCAAAGGACCCGTTTTGAGACACACTCCATATGGGCTGCCGATTTTGGGCTCGCTCAGGCGCCTGCAGCAGATGACGCAGAGGACGGGCGTTTTGAAGGTGGCTCCGGGGTGTGCGTGGCAGTTCAGGTATGCACATGTTGCCTTTTAAATGGTGTCAGCACTCGGTTTTCTCGACTTGACAAGGAAAGAGCCCTGAAACAAGCAAACTGAGAACCACTGGCTGGATCGTCAACGCCCCACTCGGGAGCTCGGCCATTGGGTCAAAGCTGAGCAGCTTGGCAGCTTGTGAGTCATTGGTGACTTTTGAACCTTGCGCTGCCAGGACAAAAGTTGTGCCTTTTTGGGCCTTTGCAAGCTGTTGCTGTGTAATTGCCACACTCCGAAGCCTTTAAAGTATTTTGTATTTACAGGGTCCCACGCCTGCTACACCACTGGAGGTAGAAATTGGATCCGCAGGCGAGCCACACGGCTTTGCAGTTTGCAGAAACAAGCCAAATACATAAACTGGTATCCTCCCGATGCAGAAATTTCATTTTTGTACAGGAGTTCCCTAACCGAGACTTGAGGGTTGGTGCACTTTTATATCCTGTGTATAGGTTGGTAACCCGAGTCGAAAGGGGTTTCCCCCCGCCAAGGGGCCCCAGGCACGCATGTTTGAATCCCCCTCATGGTGCCGGCCGGACTGCCATCCCTTGCATTTCCATGGCTTTTTGGGCGGGGGGGGTTTACCAGACCTCATGTGTCTCTCCAAATGGGGAACCAAAACGGTGCACCTTCAAAATGACCCGAAGAAGGGCACGCTCTCGCAGGAGGCACTTTCAAACCACCCAGAAGATGATGCTCCACCGCTCCTCCCGCCTGGAAGCCGGGGGGCACAAGTCTCGAAATGCGTCGCCCGGACCCGGGTGACAGTAGATGACAGAGTTCCCTTATGGGGTAGCTAAAGACTAAACCAAGAGTCGGCAACAGGGCCAGCTACTTTCACCCAAATGAAGATGCTTTTGAGCCCATGGTTGTGACTGTTTCTAGTGGTTTTGTCAGGAGCTAAATTTTGTTACCTTTCAACCTACCACTTGGCGCATGCCTTTGCTGCCAAAATTTGGGACCATTTGAGTTGGTTTTAAAGGGAAACTAAAAGGAGCCAATTATGCGGGTTGCCCTGTTTTGACAGCTCGGAAAATGAGGGTTGGTGGGGATAAGTGGCTCAGGGGACAACGCAGCCCAGTTTGAACATGCAACAAAAAGCTGGTTCGCCTTTGGGTAAAGGAAGTTCACGGGACAGCCGTGGGATCGGATTCAAGGCTCTCTGCGATTTGGGGTTTGGGTAGACCCCTGGTTTAATATGTGGTTTTGCTTTTAGGACTGATATTTGTACTTTTGGGGTTGGGCCAGCACCTTTTGGGCCAATTTTGGGAGGGGTAGCCAAGTGTCCGACCTCCCTTGCACGAAACCGAAGCTCGTGGAAGTTTTGTGCCCGAGGGTTCGGGTAGGCCGTGCCTATACTTCCCCTTGAAAGGCGATTCCTCTAAGCATGATGGTTTTTCGGTTCCGTCAGATCCGCAGGAGTCCCAGTCAGAAGTTCCTGAATGGGGGTATCACCAGGGCTACCACCCGAGAAACCTGCCTCAAGTCTCCCGCTGAGATGGACCCGATCGTCAACCTGGTGAGGAGGCCACTGGCTTTTTCGCCGAAGGGATTCGCTCTCTGCCCGAGGCAAGCCGCGCCCTCAAACCCGCTGCTTCTGTCCCCTTGCGGCAAATAGCTGCAAAGCTAAAGTTGCAAGATGGATTCTGGTCTTTGGCCTGGCCCCTTTACCAGCTTTTGGCTGCAACAAGCTTCGTTGTGGTTTCCCTTTAATATGCAAGAAGGGGTCGACCCTTCTGAGAAATCTCCAATTGCCCATTGTTCTCCCCGATTAAACGGGCTTACGAAAGGGGTTGCCTGTCTGGGACCTGAACATTTCCTCGAGGGGAAACTGTCATCCAGGTGCCTGGTGACTGAAAATAGGGCCAAGCTGAGGTGGGCTCCTTTTGTTCCTCAGGAAACGAGGAACAGCCCCCCCCCCCCTGCCCCACAAACGAGGTGTCCCTCATGTCGGGACACCCTCGCCTTTTGTCGGATTCTTGCACGTTCGCCCGGCCTAAGGACCACCGTTCTAGCTCACAAACATAACAAGGTTGCAGGTGAATACTTGTATGTATATACATACAGTCTATGTATATATTTGTAGTACATGTATAGGTGAGCTCAACTTGCCCTCCTACTATTTCACGAACAGTGCGATGTAGATGTATATGCACATATTTCGGGGTGTTACTACCACGAGCGCGCATGTTTGTGTCGTATGACCTTGTTCCCTCCCACCCTCCCACTACAAAGGACACTCGCATTTCACTGGCCCGACTTGTTTTGATCGGACCCTCCATGTCTGAGTCTAATCTATTTGGTGGGTTTGGGTCCTATGGGGAATGGGCCCCGGTTTTTAGGGTCGAGCGGAAACATCCCAAAAGGGAAACATGGTAACCTCGCCCAACTTTTGTACAACCGCCCAACCACCAATGTGTGGAAGAGGAAAGTCCAACCACCACATTCCTTGTGCCTTTCCACTTGGCTCTCGCCTTCATGCCCGGAAACCCCAACCCCCTACGGAAATCTCGTCGCCAGGTTGCACCACGGGGTGGAGGTGCACTTGAAGGACAGGACCCAGGACCTCCGGAAACTGGGAGGTTTGCAGCTCGGTTTGTGGGACCGGATTCCTTTTTCTTTTGGGAGCCCCCTTGGTGTATTCATGCCAGATTCCGGGTGTTTTTTTTTTTGCAGCCTTTGGTTGCTTTTCTCCCCAGCCGCAGCTGTGTCGCCAATCCGCCCATCCGGTTTTCTAAGCCGTCGAAGAGGAGGTGCCGCCCATTGGTCATGGGAGCTTTCAGCCCAAGCCCAGGGTTGTGAGATTTGACAGAGCCTCTGTTTTAGTGGTGCCGCGAACGCAAGTGGAAGGGTATATGCAGTTGGATTAAGATCCAAGTAGCTTCAGCAATCATCCTGCACCTGGTTGTTTCTTTCGCCAAAAGCTTCTTGCTTGATTTAAGGCCAGCCGTTCCCAGAGTGGCTTTTTCATGTGTTTCTGCCCTTGTGCAAGAGTTGTTTTTCTTCTCAGACAATCTCTTTGTTGGTGGTTTGGATTGGTGGCTTGGCGATCTGAACCCCGGCTCTTGTAGAGGGGGACCCCTTTTGGTGGGCTTTTACTGCACCAGAAGGAAACCAACCACAGAATTTGGGAGGATCTCCCGGGCAATGTTCACCTCGATCTGGTGATCAGTGAAGCTCGCTCCCACCGGCAGCGCTTCGCCGAACCCTCGGGTGTGGGTGGAGGTGGGGGCGGGTTCCGGAGGTGATGTAAAGCTGGTTTGTAAATTACGGTGCCAACTGATTCTCTTCAAAGCGTTATCATTTAGAGAGGTTCCTGACAGAATTAAGTTGTGGGGGTGCTTTCCCCTTGAACCCCCTGGAGGGAAGTTCATGAGGATGTCACTTGAATGGACGTAAGAACAAAACACCGCCTGCTTTCTTTCAAGGACAGGAAAGCAGTCTTCCAAGGGGGTCTGTGGATCGTTTCTTGGTTCCTGCTGTTTGATGGTTGGAAACCGCGTTCTTAAAGGGACGCTTATGGATGGGACCTCACCAAGCAGGTTGGTTTCTTTTCGGGATCCCTAAAAACAATCATCCAATGTGGGCTTTTCCAAAGATCTGCCTTCCTGTGTTCAAGGCCCTCCCCCCCAACCAAAAGACACTCGAAAATGGGACGTGGCTCATGTGCAGACTTGAAGCCCACCTGCGACTCGCGATTTGAAGGCCTACCGCCTGCAGCGGTGCTTGGGATTCCCAGACTTCTTCGAGGGTGGCTCCGCCGTGCTTCAAAGCAGTTTGGTCGGGCGGCTGCCAGTTGGAGGTTGGGGTTGCGAGTTGGGGGTTGGGGGTTGAGGTTTTCGCAACAGGATCTGCGGCATTTGGTAGAGGGCTTTGAGAGTACCGACTTGAATTGACATCGCCAAAACTTTGATGCAGAAGTTCAACTGAGAAGGACGATCTGCTCCAGTCGGAAATCAGAAGCTGGGCACATGAGTTTCGATCAACATGTCCACAAGTCTATGGTTTGGGACAAGAAGCGGAATAGATATCCCGATGAAAGTCAGGAGCTCACTGATTTTCGCACAAGCCAGATGGACGCACACAGTCCCCAATTTTCGCACTCAAACTAGGCGGACTTGCTAAGTGTTCGATGAATACGGCAAACAGTCAAAATCTCCAGCAGTCTATGGCCAACTTGGGAGTGACATGGTTAGATCCCGATGCCTAAGTTAACTCGCAAAAGCCCGGATGACTGCTTCTATATCTTGGAGCGATGGCTCATATCCAATAAAAGAATCGCCAGGTGTGCTGCACTTGAATGATCACGATGCTGGGTGCTGCGTGGAGCTCTTCTACCGGGTGTGCCAGGATCCGGACTCAGTTTCGAAAGCGAAGGTAGTGCATTCGAGCGCGCTGGGAACGGGAAGGGGAGTGGAACGGGAGTGGAACGGAAACGGGGATGGGACTGGGAATGGATCGGTACTAGATTTGTTCTACTGGTCTTCCATTTTTGTGGCTTCCCCATTGTTGGAAACGCCAAAATTTGGAGTCAAAGCTGACATTCGGAGGGTGTGTGCCTGACCTTTCGTTCGGGATTTCCTTCATTTGCCCTTCCCGGCCAGAAGTTAAGTTTTGCACATGATCCACGTCTGGCCAAGAACGGTGAGATTCTCTTGGAGAAAGACTCATGAACATAAATCCAACCAAGCAAATGGTATCTATGTACGTGTCCAAATCTTGGGCCGCTAATCCCTCCAGACGGCTGGTCTCCTTTGATTCCAATTCGATTTGCGGAGTGTCCGGACACACCACATGTCATGAATGCTTTGATAGCTTCAATAGCGCTCTATCAATAGATAATGAGGGATATTGATATTGTATGTGGCCTGAACGAATGATGTCTAAAGAAGATTGCATGGGAGTGTGTGCCAAAGGCCCTGGCCTTGCGCCCAAAACACATTTGAGACCAACAAACTCAATCCCAGTACGGGAGATGAGTCTTGTGGGTGGGACTCAACAGGATTGGGCCAGATCTGTGAAAAAAAAGCCGGTTCTGGTCGCCTTTGAAGGCAAACCAGCAGAGGTTTTGCTTTAAAACCTAGCTTGTTTATACAATGGTACCAACGGAGGTGGTTTATAGTCGAGGTTGCTGGCTGTTGCGCAATCAATGCCAGGAGCAACGGAAGGCGCCGCTGAAGATCGGCGAGTGGAGCGTGCGGATCACGGGTTGCGTGGGGGAGCGGGTGCCATTTAATCGTTGCCTGGGGGTACCCATTTTTTGCTAAAAGCAACCACTGGATTTAGGTCATTCTTGGGGGTACCCAAAAACGGAACACTGCAGCCTGGGGATGAGCAACCCATATAGCCCTGTCGGCTGAGGTGGCACGCCCCAACGACATGTCGCACCCGGAGCTTCCTGAGCCACGCACATCATACACTGGCATCTGAGGGCCGACCTTGGCTTCTTGTGGGGGGGCCTGTGTTAACGAGCAGCAGAGCTTCTTTTTTTGCCGGCGGTTGATCGCAAACTCAAAACATGGGGGCTGATCCTCCAGATTTGTCCTTAACCTGCGTTCTGCCGGCCAAAGAGTTCTGACCTAGATAACCCAACTCGACTCAGGGAAGGTGGTAACTGCGCCAAGTACCTTTGCCACACTCCCAAGGCGACGCGGGACGCTTCAGGGCTTGAAGACCGAGCCACTCTGCCGAAAGCGGCGGATCGATCAAAGGCAACCGAAAGCAGCTTAAAGGCACGTTTCGAACAGAAGGGAAGCATCAGATTTGGCATTGCAAGTCGATAGTCGACGTTTTTGCAGAAACCGCCCATTTAACGACCCCTTTGTTGATTCGGCAATCAATCACGAGTTCTGATGTCAGCAACTGACAGTGTTTTTGCCAGTCTACCGTTGGTTGCTTTTGATAGTTTACCTGTCCGAAATTCTCCAGAACAATCAGGGGGATAGGTCAATGTTCCCATGCCCTTTTGAAAACACAAGCGCAATTTCTGTCCGCATGTGCTTGCGGGCTTCCAGGGCTCAAGCAGGTAGCCCCAAGCAGTAGCCAGCAAAGGGCCAACCCATCGCGCGGCCCATTTTGCAGCCATGTCAGGCCGGGTCCACAGCCCCAAAAGGGACAAGGGGGACAAACCAGACTCTGTGCCTCGAGCATACTTGAACACCTGGTCCACGCGCCAAGTTGTCCAAGCATTTATGCCGCTAGGCATATTCAGGAGCCCCCACAAACACAGCTGCTAGCTGTCTTGGTTAGACTCTCCTTTGTAGAGTTGGAGCGCGGGTTTCTTTTCGTGAGTCCAGCAATTGCATCTGTTTGCCAGGCCGCAACACCCGCATGAGCCAATGGCTGGACTACAGGCCTGGCTTAGCGTTTCGGGCTCGCTCCGCCCAGAAATGACGGGGGCACATAGGGCCCACGAGGCATCCTGGGTATTCCAATTGTGGGAAGCACCTCAGGGCCGCACTTTTCTGGGAGGGTGTCACAGGGGTCACTGGGTTCCATTTGATCAATTTACAAGGGTTCACCTGTCGATGCGGTTCCAGTCGATGCCGCGCAGGGTCCGAGTCACCATCAGCGACAATCGCATGCTCGTGGGCACTTTCATGGCGCCGTCCTCGTTCGCTTGGACAGGGCTGGATCGTGGAAGGCGTCAACATATTTCTCATTGAAAAGACGAAGCATGGCATGTGCAATTTTGATTTTCCCATAGTACATAGATGGTGTATTGTTTGGGTGGGGAATACGCTGCAAGATCCTTTTTTGGGCAAAGTAACAAAACTGCGTCTTTACTAGTGGTTTCTCAGTAGGGATCAAGGCAGTAGGCTTCGGATTGGCCAACCATGCACAACCCCAAAATGTTCTGGGTGGTTTGCGTCATGTCTGTCAAATATGGCTCGTTCGACTCGGGGAATCACCGGTGTGACCGATGAACAAACAACGCGTCGGTGACTGTTGCACAGAAATATGGAATCCATTTTGGTATCTCTGAAAAAACTAAACACCAGCACCTTCCAAAAGGAGTCCCTTTTCGTTCTCCGTTTTTCCAATTGAACACCCAGCAGCAATCAAACAGGAGTTCTCTTGTTTTTGGGGTATGAGAGTTTCTCAGGCCTTCGACAAGTACATGAACGTGGTTCTCGCAGACTGCGAGGAGTTCCGGAAGATCAAGCCGGGACCCCGAGATCCGATCGGGAAGTGGTGCGCCTTTTTCGGTCGGCGGAAGTTTGTTCCTTCGGAGATAACACGAAGAGGAATCGGTTGACTCGCTTCCTGAGACCTCCGGACTTCAGACGTTTTGGGTTAGCAGTTTGGTATACCAAACAACACATTGAACTTGTTGTTGCCAAGCCAATCGGGAGAGTTGAGCCGAACGGCATACCGATGTTTGGCTGGTTGGCAAGGGTTGCGATCGGCATGTTCCTTTGTCGGTTTTGCAGAGAGATTCCCTAACTTGAGCCCTCGGAACCGCAGTTTCAAAAGGAGGCATACTCAAAACCTGGGTAGCTGAACTTGGGTCCAAAGCTCAAATCGATGTGTCTTGTTTTAGGGGACCCGCCAAAAACGGTTGGTTTCCCTTTAAAACCACGAAGAAGGGTACCCTGCAAAAGACACACCCCTCAGAATTTGGTGGCATCATGGGCCGACTCCTTTGGCGCCTTTCGGTTGTGAGAGAGCGCTGAGCTTGGGAGCGCGTCCGCCTTGCAGTTGCCGTGTGGCTCGGGCGTAGGGCGAGGCGTTGTCCTGTGAGCCCTTCGGGGGCAAGTTGCCCTTGCCCTCCCGGGAACGCACGGGAGGAGCTTAAAACACCAGGCCGCAGACAGCAAAGGCAGACCAACATGGACAGACATCACATAGTTCTAGGTCGTAATTGCTGGATAAAGAAAACACCAAACATTGACAGGGCTACATTAGAAGATACAATTTGGCTATTTGAATCATTCCCCTTCTACCAAACCAAAAGGGAATCCCATTTTCGGGGGGTCGAAGCCCCAGACACAAACCGGTCCAAAAATAGTTTCACTGGGGGCAAGTTGCCCCAGCGACATGGAGACGGAGGGCTGGGATATGGTGGAGGACTGGCGCTCCCAAGAGGCCCATCCCATTTTCACCCAAGGGATCGCAGCCACAAAAAGGGCCTGTTTAGTTTTTATCCAGCCAGCTGCGTGGGCAGTGGGGCAACAATGACATGCATGTTTCGTCATTGTGTGCCGCTGTGTGCGTGTGCTTGCGCGGTCTCCTGTTTCTCTTTCTCTCTCTCTCTCTCTCTCTCGCTCTCTCTCTCTCTCTGTTTTGAGCGCTCCCTTTAGTCAAGAAGATGGAAATTGAGATCTCAAGGACACCGGTGGCATGGCATTGGCCCCTGATTTTAAGTTGGACATGTGGCCCGGTCTTCAAAATTGGGTGACTTGGACTCCCAAAATGGCTTCGGGCCGTTCCCCCCAAAACAGCAACCACGCCCAATGCGGAATATGAGGGTGCCCAAGAAACCGAGTTTTTGTTGGCGTTGGCTGTGTTTCCAGTCAAATCCAACAACGACGGGTTCCCCCAAAACAAGCAACCTTTGTTTTTGCGTGTTTCCATTTGTGTGTGGCGTTTTGGTTTGTTTTGCTTTAAGGGATGAATCCAGGACTCGCAGGTCCACACCCTGCGGCTCCACCAGCGAGATCTCCACCACCAGAGGTGCAAAGAGGACCGCGAATGGCTCGCTGGATCTGGGGTTCGTCCCAGTGTGCTTCGAATTCGATTCGGCAGTGAGGCTGGAAGCGGTCTTTGCCATTTTCTTCGAACCTGGAGGAATCTTCTCGTTGGGCCGACGGAAGGCACCCCCTGCGAGGGTCAAGAGCACAGACTCCTTGTCGAAACGATGGTGTTCGGAGTCCAAATTCCCGATTTGCTCAAAGGGAAACCAAAAGGACTTTTCCAATTTGGGGTCCAAATCCCGATGTCTTGACACACCTGGAATCCTGGATAAAAGCACAAGTAGTATATTTTTTCTTGTCTCAGGAGCTGAGTCAGGCCCAACAGGCCTGCGAAGCGCTGATCAAGGCGCAGCAGGAGGTGGCCTCCGGGATCCTGAGGCGCGGACGGGCGGCGTGTCTCCAGTTGGGTGTGTCTGTTCGGGGAATCCAACATGGATCTCGGTTTTCCGTTTGGTTTTTCCGTGAATGCATTGTACGTCTCCTCCAAAAGGTCGAGGGAAGGGGAATCCGATTTCCAAAGATGGGAATGTTGCATCTCCCAAAAATCTAAAAGCGTTAAACACGTAGAGATACTTTCATCCAAACTTTCAGACCAACCTGGCTTTGTGGCTTCCTTTTTGGGTTGGTTCAAAAGGAGCACCAAAAGCAACCTGCCATTTTGGGGGGTCCCCCCAAAGAAACATACACCCATTTGCAGTTCCGTATTGCATTTTGCGGGACTAGAAAAGTGGATTGGCTCGCTCTCCCACTTAGGGGGATTTTGACCAAGGGTTTGCCGGGCTTTTGCTGGGGTGGACACGGGTTCGGTTTCAATCCAACCCAAGCAGAGTATTAGCCGAATCATAATTATTAGTCATGGCCCCGGTTTTCCAGTCAGGCTGAACCACTGCTTCCCTTTAGGAGGAATTCAGAATTCACATGGAGCACCCTGGGTTTTAGGTGGTTTTGGAAGGGGTTCAGAATGGTTGGAACAAAACCCTGAACATTTGGGTTTGTGTTTTTGAGGGTACCGAAGCTCGTTTTGACGGTCCACATCCCCAACGCGGAGACTGTTAGTTCAAGGGGTCATACCTCATTCTTTTCACCAATCCTTCCATTCAGAACCCCGTGATTTCCCCCTGGATATTGGGATCAAACAGCAAGAAGGATCTTTTTCTCCAGCATGGAAAAGGAGGACACTGCTAGACCAATTGTGGGAGCCCATGCGGGTGCCACAATAGAGATAAAAGGACCCCACAACTATTGGCTTCCCTTTGGACACGGCTCCGCCATGGAACCTGACCGGGGGTCCAAGACCATGCTCCTCAAGGAGCGATTTCTGTAATCGATTCGCGAGGTGTGGAGAGCAGATGGAGCAAGTGGACCAGGTCCACCGGGCCTTCTGCATCCCCAAGACCTCGGTGCCATTGGAGGGCCTCATCTGGGACTGCCCGCTGGTGGTCCGTACATGCCGCCCAGACAAAGGGTCCAAATTGGAGGGGATGGAGGTGGGAGGGAAGTTGTTTGGAAAGAAGCCTCAAGTTTGGAAACACGCTCTTGAGTTTTGTGCTTGAGGAAATCTATTTTAGGGATAGGATGAGGCTGGGAGGTCGGGATGCCATCGCTTAGAGGCAATTCGCAGACTCAAACCCCAAAGAAACTGATACCCAGGGTTTACCATTGCTGGATGGACTGGCCACATTCTTCTTTTGGGTGGGTTGGGGGATGATTTGGCAGGGGTTTCTTATCTTCTCTCCTTTTGGAATGGGTGTGTGTGTGGCAATGGTTTCCTCACACTTTTCCTTTCGGAAGGATCAACCACTACAATTTCATGGTCATTTACTTTTGGATTTCCCGTCAAGTGGTGAGGGCTGTAGGCAATCAAGATGTTTCCCCAAGTTGTTCGGAAAGGTTTCAGAGACTATCGTGAGTGTGACTTGAGTCGTCGAGTCTCGAGATCGGGCCCCTGATAGGACAGATGGGAATGAATCCTTGGATGTTCGGCCAAGTTGGTAAGTGGTTAGTCAGTTTGGGCATAACCCCGCAATGACAAGGTGAACCCCATTTAGGGGAACTTAGAAGTTGGTTTAAACCTAAGTTAACTTGGCTAAAAGCGCAAGTATGGCAGGTTTCATCCAAAGCTGCCGATTGTGGATTCTATGTCCATCCGTAGCCACAAAAATGGAGAACGGGCAGGCCCCTTCTTAGTTGAATCCTGGATCGCCAGGCTCGTCCTTTCTAAATCATTGCCTGTTGGTTCCATGTTGTAGCTGCAAAGCCCCAATCTGTGGATCCGATTTGCTGTGGTCCCAGCGAAGCACCCAAGAATATCACCAAGCTCGGATTGGCCTCTTTAAAACAGCCTGAGGGAAACATGTGTTTGTGTCAAATGGGGGCCCCGAAAGCTTGGTTTCCGTTTAAACCAGCACCCTATAGAACACACGCATACACACATATGACATATGGAGAGGGGATCACCGTCTCGGGAAGCGATAGAATCCTCAGCCATGGAGTTGGAGCGACCGAGGACAAAAACGCTGATCTCATGTCCGCGATTGTGACATCACAAAGAGTACCATCCCCATTGGAAAATCGCTCGGGGGCCCCTTTCAGAAGCAGGCGTCGTGCGGTCCTCACGCCCATGTTTGCTCATCAGTTGGTGAGGGAGGGCGCCTGCAAAGGGCGGATTTCCCAAGTTCAGCTGGTGACTCTCCCTCTCGACCTTTGTCCCTGAACAAAGACTCTGAGAATGATGTTGGAGAAGTGAACATTGGACGCATATTCCTAGTAAGTATATACTTCGCGAAAGGGTAAAATGAAACAACCAGCAAAGCATGATTGAGTGAGCGAGCGAACCTGCGAGCGAGCGAGCGAGCGAGTGAGAGACGAAGTGAGGAAGTGAGGAAGGGAGGGAGGAAGCGTGTGAGCGAGTGACGGAGCTGGGTTGGGTTGGGCTACGTCGGGCTGGGTGATGAGTGAGTGTGAGTGACTGAGGTGAAGGATGGAGCAAGAGTGTAAGCAAGTGTGAGTCGCAGAGTCAGAGCTGCTTGTGAGGTGGGAAGCACAGCTTCAGCACCGGGCAGAATGTCATCATCACGGGCGTGCGCGTGAAGGGTGACGCTTCGACTTCGCTGCAGAGCCTGGTGCGCGAATTGAGCAGAGACCACGACACTCGGAGCAGAACCTGGTGGGTTTGTGGCACGAGGGACCCTCAATTTCATGGGTTGCAAAAGGGAAACCAAAGGGAGCCAACTTGGTTTGCCCTTAAATTTGAGAGTCACCCGAACTGCTTTCAGCGACCCCTCCAAGTGCTTAATGCATGTTCCTTTCAAACCGGAATCGATTGAAATGGAAGGCCCTGCTGGTTTGACATTCTGACATATGCCAATGTCAATGTGGAGATATGTCTGAAGTATGAAGGATTCCTTCCTTTGATGGTTTGTTGCAGGACGCACTTCCAATTATTTGTGTTGTTGTTGCTCTTGGGTTTAAAGGACACTGGCCAGGTCATGTCTGGTACATATGATATTATTTCTAGTGCCAACAAACAACCTAATTCTTGAAGCTGCAAAAAGGAGGCTCGAGAGGCGCTATTAGGGTTTCCGCCCCTTTCAAAGGGCCCTTGCCAACCACAATGAACACAACTGTGATGAGGAAAAATGGCGATGAGCTTTTGTTGGGAATGTTCTTGTTAAAAGGGTCCTTTACACGGGACAAGTTGCAAACTGATCCATTTGCGCCATCTGGCCCCGTCTCTCGGTGTCGACCCTCGGTGTCGACCCGTCCAGGCGGTGGTCTACGTGGACGAGTGCAGGTTCGCTTTGGGCTCCATGGGTACGCTCATTTGTGAGGCGCCGTTGCCAAAAAGCTAAGTCCACCTGGCCATGAACGGGTCGATCAAGCGGATTGCCTGCAAGTGGTGCAGTGTTTGGAAAGACAAAGACCCCATCAAAACAGGGCTCCTACCATTTCGCAAATCCACTGTAGTGCACACAGATTCTTCCTGAAGTGAGGGTCCAAATGATATGTCCTTCATTGAGCCGCCGAAGCAACGTCACCTTTTGGTATTGAATTTGCGTTGGACGGGCCACGGTGGAGTGATGTCGGAGGGACATGTAGAGAACCCTGTCTGAACCCGCGCCTGTCCTGTGGGTGCCAGTTTTGGGGTTTCGAAGTGAAACGAACGGGGAACTATCCTTCTCCCACAGACACAGCATCTCTGGGAGGGACAAGTCTGTCAGGTGACCATGTTAGCGGGAGGGAGGGTATCTTCTTGTCCGGAGGAGGAGGAGGCGAGCATGTTGGACTTCACCAGCGCACAGGCCGCCCTGAACATCTCCTGCTGGGGCCTGGGGAAGACTTACCTGTCCCACACGGCCCTGCACATCACAGCGGAGACCTTGCAGGCGAGAGGAACGGGGGGGTCACAATCAAAGCCAGGATAAATGACGGGTAGTAAGGGAGAGTCCCAGACACAAGTAGGTGCGGCTTCCGCTCTAAGTTTTGGGGAGACTGCTGTGGTACCCTCCCTTATTATAATTTCCGCCGTCACCTTTTGAGATGAGTTGCGTAAAGCGCGCCACAACCAAAATCCGGGCTACTCAAGGAATAACCCCAACCAAAATTAGGCGCCGCCTGTTTAGCTCTTTGCATTGGTTTGGGTAGACTACCTTAGCTACCTTTTGATTGAGACTCGAGCTTCATTTTGGCGGGGTGATGTTCAACCAGTAGATGAAGCCCATGGGACAGCCCCCTTGCCACACATCGGGTGTTACCCCCATCTATCTTGGGTACACCCCTTTAATGCCAAAATTTGGATCGTGACTCGACTGCGGGCCGAAGAGGATGCCTGGACCAACCCGAGCCAGGCACACGAGTGACTACCCGACCCTGAAGCCCCGCCTTAAACCGACCCGAATTTCCGTCCTACACCCCGAATTTGGCCGAGCCACCGAAACGGACCGAGCCCCGCGTCTCGGTGGCGCCCTCCGGCCCCGCGCCGGGAGCCAGCACCCTGCCAGGCCGTGGGACTGCCGAAGGCGGTCTCCAAGATCTTCATGGGCCTCCGGATGTCCTGCGAGGGCGTGCAAACCATGGCGGAGGCCTATGCCAGGCGAAGATGGGCTCTGGTTCTCGGAGGATCCCATAACCTACCCTGGGCTTGACTTTGTTTCTTTGTTTTGGTATGGATGCGTGTGTTTTCGCGTGTTTTCGTGTGTTTTGCACAGCTCTGGGAGCCTTACACGCGACGACATGGTGTGTCGCCTAGAGGTCGCGGCCCTTTGTCCGCCGAAAAGGGGAACTCGACGTCCGCAGCCTCGCATGGGCCTTTCTTTGGTTCGGCGGCTCGCACGTGAGCAACGCAACACCAGTGAGTAGTGCCCCAAAATACGCGAACCACAAGATATGTGAATTTGAATGTGAATGCGAATGTGAGTTTCAGCTTTGCCAGCGAAGCCACTCAGCAAAGTGCCAAGGAGAAGGAGGGGGGGTTGAAGACTTACCGGAATTCAATGCCAGTTGCTGATTGGACATGGACATGACTGGCACTGTGCTTGGTGCAGTGCCCAGACGGCAACTTGACTGGTGCTCAAATCAGAACGGCTTTTTGCGCAGGCAAGGTGCTTTCCCAATTGCCAGACTCAGTTCATGGGCCCTTCTCAGCGCTCCATGGGTCTCATTTACCAAACTTCAACTGTGAGTCAAACATCTACAAATAGATTGGTCTTGGGAGCAGATGTTTGCTGATTTCGGGCAAGCGCACGCTTGAGCGTGCGCAGGCACGTGGAGCACACGCACAACATCACTCCTCCGGGGAAGTTTGCAGACTCGCTGGGAGTGCTGCACGCCTGGCTCAGGACAGCCTACACCGCAGATATGCAAAACTAGCCTGGACATCCAGTTGCGCTGTTTGGAGCGGAGGCTCCTTTGGGGGACGGACCCCCCGGCAATCTGAAGGGGAGTCCGATTTGTTGCGCATGGTGGCTTTGAGGACCGTGTCTTAAAATCCTCTGGATTTTGTTTTTGCCCGCTTTTTCAAAAGTGGGCGGACTCCTCAGAGAGGCACGAGAGACAGCATTTGGGGGTTGTTCCAAATCAGGGCTGCCGTTTGGCTGGTTACCAAAAGAGAGACCAACAAGAAATCAACTGTTTGGAAGGGGAAACGCCCAGCTTGCTTGAAGGCAATGCAATCAAGATTCTCTGGAAAGTCTTTTGAACACAGAATCTTTCAGGATTCCCTGTAATTCTTCTGGATGATTTTGAACCCTGCCGTTTAGTTACCTATCTGTGTAAAGTGAGTGTTCATTTCGTAGGGTGGCGTTTCCTGGAAACATACTTGGGTGTTCTTAGTGAAGCTAGTGGTGAGATTCACTTCGGTTTGATCCCGCAGTATTTCGTACCACAAGAGGAGTGACACTGCTGATTGCGGGTTGGAACCTAGGTCAATTTTACCACCACTTGCCGACTTGGTCTGCTTGGAAGGAGAGTCAGCGACGTGCAGGGTCCAGACGTGAGGGGCCTTGCAAGCCATTTGTGGGACCGAACTGTGGAGGCTGTGCAGCGACCTGGCACTGAGCACTTGGCATGTGAGGTTCGTGGTTAAACAAAAAAAAACACCTCAAAATGGGGGGGGGGAACCCTTCAGCCCAGCAGCAAAATCGTTCAAATATGTGTCTCAAGAAACACAATGAATTTGGGAATGTGACCTGTTGGCTCTTGGGTATGTGAGGCTCGCTGTCAAAGCCTTACAGCCCTTCAATCCATTTGCGCTCGCTGCGTAAGGGCAAGGGGCATGTCCACATGTCGAATGGGGGTACGTTGAAAGGTAACCCTTGAACTGATTGGGGTGCCTTTCGGCATCCAAATGGTTGGGTTGAGGGGCTTCAAAGTCGCGGGGGCCCGCAGATTTGGTGGTTGTTTGTTTCTACGAACCGAGGCTTCAAGTATTGTGTAGATCCGCGGCACGAGTTCACAGGACTGCGTCAAGAAGACAAGAGCTGCTGGTTGGGGGTTCCCCTACTTTCGAGCAACCAGAGCAACCAGCGGACGCCCCGAGGCCTGTCAACTGGCAGCCCTCCGTGCTCTGGGGCTTTTGCGCAGAGTGCTTCGCGAGCTTCGAGCGGAGCACGTCGGCCACGTGGGTTCGGCCTGTTTTGAAGCCATTGAACATGGGAAGTCCATGTTGGGCGCTCTTCGGGGCCTTTGACCTCGTGAACCAAGGGACTTCAGTTGTTGAATTTCAGAAGGCAACAGCGGACCGATTCCATAGAATGTCATTGACAATTTCAGGCCGACATATCTTGGTATGCGATCGCTCGCCTTAGTTTGGCCCCCGCGTCTTCCGATGCCTGGTGTCAAAGCTGATGTCGACCCAGGATTAACCTGCAAATGTGATCCGCATTCCCTGCAAAGTCAGACACCGGCCTATGAGTCATCAAGGGTCAATACATCCTCGCCTCCAGATGTTTCATGTCCGTTGCAGGGCTGAAATCTGGAAATGACGCCCTCCTGCCATTTTGCAGTGTCCGATTCCCGCAGTTCCAGGTGAGTCGGCGCCATTTGGGCCTGGAAATGGGAAGCCTTTTTGACTTTGCATAGCGATCATTTCCCAGACGAGCTCCAAACAAATTTCGCCACAACCCCACAGGGGATGAGCCCAAATTTCCCCATGTCCGCCTCAGGGAGCTTTCACGCGTTTGACCCTTTGGCCTTGGGGGTCGGGTTTCTTCCTTTCGCCAGGGGCGAAGGCAAGTCCAAGCACCACTGTCGGCACTGCGGGCGCGTGGTCTGCGACAACTGTTCGAAGGACGGGCCATGCCAGAGCCCTCGCCAGGTGCTCGAAATGGGTGCTTCTCCAAATTGGGGTCTCATAATACGTTTGCGATAAATTGGGCCGTTTCCTCAGGTTTCCCTTCAAGACAACCTCAAAAAGGGTACCCTCAAAGGAAGATACCCAAATATGGAACCACATATAAAATAGGTGTCCTTGTGGATTTCCAAAAAGGGGGCCCACAGCTCCAGAGGCTCGGTACCCATTTTCGCATTTTAGGGTTTCCCGGTTTTAACAGATCCACATCGGTATGAATTTTCATTTGGGGCCTTGGATGGACATCATTTACATTGGGGTGTGTGTCCACCAGCCATCTTTGCGGGTGTTCTCCATTCACATTTATGGCCAAATGAGCCACAATCAAGATCGCTTCGGGTAAGTGAAGGCAAACATGGAACAGGCCCAGCCAGACACAACAGCTGCCGCCCTTTTGATTCGTTGTGTTGGGGAGAACCCTTTGTGCCTCGATTCTGACTCAAAGTGGACAAGTACATGATCCCATTACAATCGTGGTTTTGATGGCGAATTTCCCATGCAGAACTTCTTGGCTAACGAACCCGACATGTGGAGTTACATACCAGGGGTACATCCCCCTATGAAGTAGAATTCGAATCGCACACGTTCAGGGAGGTTTGCTCACTGGCCGACATTTCGGTTGCCGACCTTTGGTTTTTCCTTGCAGGGAAACCAATCCAAACTCATCCATGTGGTTCGCTGGCAGCGACTGCCCACTTGCAGTCCCGAGAGAACTCACTCGTCCAGAGGACCTGGACAATGAAGGCCGTTGACTCCACAGTTCCCATCCACTTCGCCAGCTACTCCGTCATATTTGAATACATGTTCTTTTTGCTTTGTTTCCCTTTTGAGGTGGGCCTGTAGCTTCCATTTTTTTCCAATTTTTTCTTCGGGGGAACTTGGAACCCGAACCCTGCCCGCCTCCTGAACCAACTGAATCCCGCGAGGACCGCGAGATGGTGCCGTGGCACGGGCACACGAAGGCGGTGCGCGTGTGCAAGGTGTGTTTGGCCCCGGTCAAGGTGCGGAACCTGTCGCTCCAGCAGCGGCCCGGCTGAAAGTTGGCGGCGTTTTTTTTTGGTTGTGGTGTGTGGTTTGGGGGCGGGGAACCTTTTTTTTTGTTGCTGGGGCGGGGGGTTTGGGGGGATTTAGAGGCAAACTCTATTTGGGTTTGATTTGTTGATGTAGAACCTGTTTTCATTTGGGATTCTTGGGAAGGGAAAGCACAGGGAAGGATTGCGCCCCATGTAGGGACAAACTCATTCCCCACTTCTTGAGTGGGTTTAGATGATTTGGCAGGAGCCCGTCTATGTCCCTTTCGGAGAGGGAGAACTGGGTGCCTACATCTTGCCGAGGTCAAAGATTAGAGCGACTCATGGCAGTTTGAAATGGTTCCCCTTGAGGTGCTGCTTGCTGTTTGGGTGTAAAATATGGGCTGGAGAGGCCAGGCTGGGGTTTGTCTTTAAATGCGGGCGGATTTTGAATGGGCCCGGCTTCCATGGGAAACCAGCTCCCAAAAAGGCACTCCTCTTTGGGTCCGGGCCCGGTGAATTCTTTGTTTGGTGAAGATCTTGCCACGGGCCTCTACTCTTGATTTGTCCAGTGACCCACACGGCGACCAGACTCCTCAGGGAGAGTGATATGGAACTGTGCATGGCAGATTTTAGGGCTCGTCAAACGTTAAACTGAGAGCCGTGCAAGACAGCAGTGGCTAGACTCGACGGCCCATCCCACTGCTTGCAGATCTGCTGGCAGTTGTCTTTTTCGTCGAAACATTTTGAGATGGAGCAGGCTTTCGGAGTTTTCACCCTATCCCCTATTGGTTTGGAGCGGCCCTGTCTTTGGCAGGTTTTGGTGGGCGGGCAGGTTGTGCCGTGGATACTCCTTGTGTGACTCTTTTTTTCTTCTCTAGGTACAGCTTGCTGAACGAGCAGGTGGCAATCTCTGCCATGGGACTCCGTGAGATCATTGAGAGCCCCAAGCCCAAAGGCCGCGGCAAGGCAGGACTTGAGGGTTGGCGCACGCACAGCTTTCTTGGGGCCAAGCAAGGAAGCTTTGGTGTTGGTCTCATTTTTGGTTCTTGGCCGAGCGAGCTCTGTTTTTGGCACGCTTGGAACTTTCTTGTGGCTGTGGCGTGTTTTTGGAGCGTTTTTGCCAACGGAGGTGTCCCAAGCACACAGCAAGGCCCTGTGGCAGATTGACTCTCGGCGCGGATTCGCCAGGGGAAGCCCCCGGGACCGGTGCCGACCAAGGGCAAGGGCAAGGGCGTGGTGAAGAAACGCCAGGCGCGGAAAGCTCGTGGGACCGCGGGATGTGCGACCGGGAAGTTGCTCAGGGGTCCCTATAGATTCAATTGTTGCCAGGGTTAACATCACCATCTGAGCCAATTTTCGATGTTTAAGAGGCGGAACCTACAGGGAACCCGGTTCATCAGAGGTTGCTCCCCAGAAGTACTTTTCCGCGCTACAGGTTGACATCGAACCCAACAAGAGTGTCCTTTTCAAGTGAGCGTGATTTGGGTTGCCCGGCAGCCCAACCAACCCACGTAGGATTTTTCAGTCGGATCCTTGAAATGGGCATGTGTCCCCACAGAAAAAGGCCGACCATTGTCGTTATCAATCCTGTCCGAGAGAACCACGCACTTGGGCAACCATCAGACCGTCGCCCTTCTTGTTCAAAGTTAACCCACAAAATTAATGGTTATCATACGGCGCCTCATCCATGTCCATTTGTTGCGCCAAGAGGCTGATGCCAAAGACGCAAGATGTGGTAAACAACGAAATCTTTGTCTATTTGGGTATAATTACCCTCCCAAGAACAAGCATGCAACCTGCACAGGCTTCCTTGTTTTGGACTGGCCTTCCCGGAGCCCTTTTGCAGGCTCTATGCTTGTTTTTGGGAGGGTATATCCAGATAAGGGACCCCCCCCCCCGGGCAAAAACAAGAAAAAGGAAGAAGATAGGACGGCTTTCACAGTTGCGTGCCCTTTGAACCAACCTGAAGCGAGGAAATAATCGGCGCATGGCCGATGGGGTCAGGACCTGAAGCCTGGCCATGGCCTGGGGGCGCTGGGGGAGGACATCAAGTCTGAGATCGGCGCTGGACTCAGCGATGCGAATGGGACAGATTCGACCGGATTTGGTTTTCCCATTTTGGTAAAGTTTCAGAGGTCCCAAGAATGGATCTCACCTTTTATTTCCTGGTCCTTTGGGCAACTCCTTCCAGAGGGTCGCAATTTTTTGACTGGCTTTAAAGATGGCGTTACAAATCAACAGTACAAACTGCCAACAGTAGCAATTCACCCACAGAGGTCTGGGATAAGAAACCGCCAGCCACATTGTGGACTAGTTGCTAGCAAAAGTTACCCCTGTGTCTTCCCGGGGGAGATCAGGGGACTCTGCGACGGTTGATGCAGCGTGTCTCGTTTGCGGCTGGACGCTTTTTTTCTGCATGAGAGGAACCCTGACCAAAAGAGGGAGAGTTATGGGCTCTTTCACTCGGTTTTCAACCTCTCCGGTTATGCGGTTTCATTCTGGGCGCACGGCGAACCATGAAGGTGGGTCCCAAAGCAGCGCGATCGCTTCAATTGGCAAGGGTCTGCCAGGTTCCCTGCAAAGGTCCATTTCCAATTTCAGGCACCTGCACTCGCAGGAGGCCCCTGATGAGCAAACAAGCACAAACCCCGGATCCTCCATGCTAACCCCTGGAGCTTTGGTTTTCTGTTTTGGGAACCGCCTTTTGCAAAAGTTTTTGAAGGAGAACCACGAGGAACCCACTCGCAGTCTGGTCAGACATCTCACTGATTAAAAGATGGTGTTGAAGTCGAGGTAAAGAAGGACAAGGCCCGGTTTCCGCTTTTTTTGGGTTCGTCCAAAGCAGGATATGGACTACCAAAATCGTAGTGTTTGCCAGTGGGCTTTCCTTTCAAGCAATCCCAAGAGTATATTTTCCTGAAAAGAAACACGGCCGTTTGACTCAAGCATGGAATCGAGCCGGATTTTGCTGAACCCTTCTGGAAATGTAAGATTGAAAAGGACAACCAACTATTTGAACCGTCGGTTGAAGCGAGCCTCGCTCATCGGAGTCCGTGAGGCGAGCTGGCAGGTTTCGTGGTGGTGCAGAACGTGGTGAAGTGCCGCGCCATGCCGAAGGCCGCGGACCCGGGCATCGCCATCCTCGTCACCAAGGAAGAGCTGCTGTGGGGCGTGGCCTCCCACGGACGCTTATTTTCCACGAGTGGCGTCGACACGGAGATTGTCGAGGAACGTGTGGTCTGGTGCTTTAGGTTTCATATCTTTCGGTGGCGAACTTGTCGTTTCCAGTTCGCTCCACAAGCCTGCTGCGAAGTGATGGTTGAGCCGCCAACCCCACTGATAGTGTTTCTTGTCCAACGAAGTGCTCTTGCAAGGATGCGAAATTGAGGAGCCCTCTGCACTCTTGCAGACTCGTCTCTACACGATTTGAATCAAGCCATCTTTGTCCATGCTCCGTATACAAGTGTTCGTGACAACTGACGACCAGTTTGCCACGCCTGCAAGCAACATCACAGGGTACAACACTGGCAAGTATTTGCCCTGGCTTATTCTAGCACAGAGTCCAGCAAGTATGATGTTAGCACGGCTGCTTGCACTGGCACTGAACAATGACCAACAAAACGCCCTATGCAACGATTCCATGACTTAAGGACAGTTCGCTAAAAGTCTGCATGGCTACGAGACACCAAACGTGCTCGAAGATGCTTAGATCTCCGAGACTCCCTAGACTACATGTTTGCCCCTGAACTTCGAACCAGAATTCAAGATGTGCTGCTTTGCAACGTTGCAAGACAAAGCAGGTTTGCTATCAGCACGTTCTGTTGTAACACAGGCGGTCTTTGGATATGGACGTCAACGTGAGCTTCCTGTTGGTTTATTGCCAAACCATAGAATGGGAGTCCAAACGTGTTTCCTGGGCCTCCTCTTTTGGGTCTCAGTGCTTTCACCCCAACTTCTCTACAATGTCTTCAAGCCTTTTGTATCTCGCCCTACAGGCGACATTCCCCACCCCCACCCCAATTGGTCTCTATAAAACTTACAATTTCGGATTCGTTTGGGTATCTTCTCACCAGGGCCTAGTACCAACCCCTCAACGTTGAGCCAGGATTGGCGTAGCCCCTTACAGTGGTGCGGATTCGCGCTGACATGGGACACCTTTGGATCAACATCAGCCGAGGGTTTACCTGGCCTGAGTTTTCATCACCATTCCCGCGCCAATAATTGTCCATTCAGGGTTAACCTTGCGGTCGTCGTTATCTCAGGATACAAGACGAAGCTGGATGAGATCATCCACTGCCTGCTAGAAGTCACCTTAGAGGCTGGGCCGGACGCGTGCTTGGCCCGCAACAGCTTGCGCCGAAGCCGGGGGTCTGGTCAATTTGCAACATGGAAGTGGAGTTTCACCCTTCGACGCGCTTCGCTTTGCAGGCGCCCTCCAAGGACCAGTGGTTCGAGAGCATGGAGCAGATCCTGCCACTGGAGAAGCTGTCCCACGAGACACTGGAGAAGCTCAAGGCGGGGAGGGAGAGAGAGAGAGAGAGAGAGAGACAGAGAGACAGAGAGAGAGAGAGAGAGAGAGAGAGAGAGCCAGAGACAGAGCCAGAGTCAGAGAAAGAGACAGAGAAAGAGACACAGAGAGAGAGACAGAGAGGAGGAGAGAGAGAGAGAGAGAGAGCGAGAGAGAGAGAAAGGGACAGAGACAGAGCCAGAGTCAGAGAAAGAGAAAGAGACACAGGGAGAGACAGAGAGGGGGAGAGAGAGAGAGAGAGAGAGCGAGAGACAGAGAGAAAGAGCGAGAGGGAGACTAGGCCCTCCAGTAGAGAGGTTAGAGCAAGGGTACCCTTTTTTTCTGTAGAGGGGCGTGGACGGGAAGGAGACAGGGAGATAGAAAGAGACACAGAAACAGAGAGAGAGAGAGAGAGAGAGCGAGAGAGAGAGCGAGAGAGCGAGCGGAGGGTCAGCGGAGGGGTGGCGGAAGGGTAGGGGTCCGGGGTGAGTCACAAACCCCAAAAGGGAGGAAACCCCTCATGACGAATACACCCCCCAAAAAACAGGGAGCCATATGTTGATCGACCACGTAAACAACAAGCTTTTTATATATATACACAGAAAGGCACCCCTAGGACTTCCACAAAAGGCTTCCGCGCAGAATCGCCGCAGGCAGTGCCTGCAGAGAAGTTCCCCGAGCTCCGGGAGATCGAGCGGGTCATCTGCAGCGCGGCGATGAGAAAACCGCGGGGTGATCGGCTTGGCTTGGGACGGGGAGTGAGATGGGTATGTTGTCGGGAAAACATACTGTACTTGGAACAATCCCAACCTAAGAAAGTTGCTTGACTAGGCTAGACTGCAACCACACAGGCACCAAAAAGTCTATCCGGCTGCGGCAAAGCAGCTCTGACCCTAACCAATGGCAGCCTTAGCTGTTGCTGCAATCACGGTTGTGTGTGGTGGGGATTCCTTATTCAGGCCACTCCGATTCTTTGAGGGGCCAGCCAAGCTCTTGCGAGGACATATATCATTTGCTGAAAGTATGGGTGCCGCTTGCCCAGCCCAGCTCAAGGGTTGTTGCCCTTGTGTGGTTTTATTGTTTTCGTTGCTTTCTCAAGTTTTAACCTGTCACAGCTGCGTTGCTCATGCTATTTTGAGAGAGCTTGGTCTGCATGTGACAAATAGTTCCTAGTGAATCGGAGAAGGGGCATGGGGGGAGACTGGGAGACAAGGCGAACAAACGCCAGCCAAGCTCACGTGATGTCTCTTCAAGCCCCTGGCATATATCCGATTTTGGTTTACATAACCCTTCAGGGAGCCTTTTCGGAGCTGACCTTTCAGCTTTCTGGGAAGAACTTCAGGCGAGAAGTTTTTGCCGGTGGACCACCTCGCGCTGCGCTGGCGCGCGTTGAAGCTGCAGCGGGAATACGAGACTCCGGCCCCTCGGTTCGGGGACCAGACCGAGAGAGGCCGAAGGCATGCTTTGGGGGCGGGGGGGGGGGGGGTTCTGGGAGGGGTTGGTTGCAATGGAGAACGGGAATCCAACCCCTTTCTTTTGGTAGGTTCATGTAAAAGCTCGTTTCTGCTTCGAAACAACAGGTTTCTTTTTGAAAAGCCTACAGAGGGCTTGTCGGTTCCGCAGGGACACTGGGATTGATGGTTGATAAACCGGTATTCGAGTTTCGCCCGCAGCATGGCTTTGGTGTGGCCGAATCGAAAGGCCCAGAAGGAGAGACCTTCTGGTTTCACAAATGCTTTCATCAAACCTACGAAGGGTCCAGCGACCTTTGACTTGGGCGAGCTTGGAGCAACCAGCTCAGAGGAGAGATACATATTTTGCTTCTAGTGATTATTCGTTTCAAGTTGATTGTGCTGCCTTTTCAGGGATTTCCCATTGATTCAGAAGGCCAGATGGATCAGACACACAGAGGTGCCGGAACCCAGTTGGCCAGATCCCATCTCAGGCTTGGGGCTTTGGGCTTTGGGCTTTGGGATGGTGCAACGCGTTGGGCCAGGAAAAGTTGAGAACGCGTTTTCAGAGAGACAAAATCGGACCCTACCGCCTGGAAAGTTTTGAAAGGAACGCTGCTATCAGAGTAAGTCTAAGAATATCCTAAGAGCCTTTCCCGGGGGGGAGGGGTGTGCTGGGCTTTGGTTTCCTCTCTCACGCCTTTGACTGGTATGAGGAAAAAAAAGAACACCAACCGTGTTTGGCAACCGTGGTTGTGGTTTGCCGAATCCTTTTGCTCCGACACCTTCACGAGGAGCTACGCCTGGCGCGCCTGGATGTGGCCCTGGCGGCCATTCAGGCGCCGCTGGCCGACGGGCACCTGGTGTCGGAGGCGCCGACGGACTCGAAGCGCCCGTTGCGCGACCCATCTTCACCTGGCTCGGACTGGAAATTCCTAGGAATAGCAGGGCGCTCCCCTCCAAAATGCAACTCCCCACAAGGGGGCACCCCGTTCATTCATCCGGGGCTCCCCCATTATTTTGACAACTTTTCTGGTTATCAAAGTTTGCATCTTGGGTGGTGTCCCTTCAACCTACCACTTGGGGGGTGACTTTGATACTGGTAGAATAATGGGCCTTGCGGACCCCAAGACGGATTTGAGGCAAGGGCTAGGCGAACCATGACCAGAGTGAAGAGCTTCCCTATTGTTTGCCTTGCGGTTAGTGGACACCAAGACAAAGCAGGGCCCCCCTTTCAGTGCGCGTTCAAGAAAGAAGCAATGGAAACGTTGGACGAAGTCCGCGGGAATGTGTTCATGCCATGTAGAGGGAATCCGTGAAATCAGTATGGAGGGCCATTTTTTTTTAAGGTTTTTTTTTTCGTTTTTTTTTAGGAATTATTTTTGTTTTTCAGGGTGGCTGGCTTTTCGGCTTTTTGGCTTTTGTGGCTTTTACGTGGGTTTTTGTGGCTTTTGTAGCTTTTCTTTTCGCATCCTCTGCATTCCAGGTTTGGCTTTTCGCATCCTCTGCTTTCCCAGTTGGTTTTTGGCCTGGCTTCCTGCATCCTCAGCATCGCAAGTTCCTCTCTGGTGCCCCCCGCCACCCCCCTTTCGACTAAAATACACGCCTAATTGAATCATCACTTTTTCGATCATCATGTCACAGCTGCTTTTTAGATTCTTTGGCTGCCGTTTTACAGGGATTAGTTTGCCCGTGATTGAATCCTCACTTGTGCCATGAGGCCTTGCCGCAGAGGAACTGATGACCCCCCCGCTGCTTTTTTTTATATATTTTTTTTGGCCCTAATTGAATCATCACTTTTTCAATCATCGTGGGGGGGGCTGCCGCCCCCCCCAACCCCCCCGCTATTTTTTGGACTTGTTGCCCCTATTTGAATCATCACTTTTTCGATCATCATGCGACCGCTACTTTTTAGGTTCTTTGCCCCTAATTGTTCGATCATCATGGGGCGGCAGCCCCCCCAACCCCCCCCGCTATAATTTAGACTTTTTGCCCCTGATTGAATCATCACTTTTTCGATCTGCAGGGATTAGTTTGCCCGTATTTGAACCCTCACTTGTACCATGAGGCCTTGGCGCAGAGGCACTGATGCCCCCCCCGCGGCTTTTTTTATATATATTTTTTTTAGCCCATTGAATCATCACTTTTTTCAATCATCATCCCCCCCCCCGACTTTTTGCCCCTGATTGAATCATCACTTTTTCGATCATCATAGGGGGGCTGCCGCCCCCCCCCCCCCAACCCCCCCGCGCCTTTAATTGAATCATCACTTTTTCAATCATCATGGGGCATCCTCACTTGTACCATGAGGCCTTGCCGCAGAGGAACTGATGACCCCCCGCTGCTTTTTTTATATTTTTTTGTCCCTATTTGAATCATCACTTTTTCGATCATCATGCGAGCGCTACTTTTTAGATTCTTTGCCCCTAATTGTTCGATCATCATGGGGGGGGCGCTATTTTTTAGACTTTTGCCCCTGATTGAATCATCACTTTTTCGATCTGCAGGGATTAGTTTGCCCGTATTTGAACCCTCACTTGTACCATGAGGCCCTGGCGCAGAGGCACTGATGCCCCCCCCGCGGCTTTTTTTTTAAATATTTTGTTTAGCCCATTGAATCATCACTTTTTCAATCATCGTGGGGGGGGCTGCCGCCCTCCCCAACCCCCCCGCTATTTTTTGGACTTTTTGCCCCTATTTGAATCATCACTTTTTCGATCATCATGCGACCGCTACTTTTTAGATTCTTTGCCCCTAATTGTTCGATCATCATGGGGGTGGCTGCCGCCCCCCCCCAACCCCCCCCGCTATTTTTAGACTTTTTGCCCCTGATTGAATCATCACTTTTTCGATCATCATGGGGGCGGCAGCCTTTTTGGGGGGGGGGGGCGGCAGCCCCCCCATGATGCCCGCCCCCATGATGATTGAAAAAGCAATGATTCAATTAAAGGTGCGGGGGTGTTGGGGCGGGGCCCCCCAACCCCCCTGCGCCTTTAATTGAATCCTCACTTTTACCATGATGGTGATGCTGGCGATGTTGGCTGGACATGCGGGGGATGTTGAAAACGATGCTGATGATGTTGACGGACGCGTAAAATACGTACATTTCGCGAGAAAATGCTGTATTTTAGTAGCCAGGACGGAAAACAAAAAAAAATCCCAAAAAAGAAAAAACACATTCCCAAATTAAATCTCGACCCAATCAGTATCGTCCTCCAGATTAGCCCGAAAGTGACCTTCCTTAGTAAGTTCGCAGCAAAAACTCTCTTTCAAACCGTTTTCCCATTTTGAGGTGAGCCAGTTTGGTTTAGCGGTTTTATATCACATGGGAATAAATCCTGGCGACATGACCCAGCGCATTTGAACACAACAAGGTTTATCTTCGACTGTAATATAGTGTATCTTCCAAACAACCCCAGACGAAATGGTAAGAGTCACGGCTCTTTTGCTTTCGGCCTCTTGCGCAGGTGAAGAACATGATCGCCGTGCCTCCTGTCTGCACGCATGCGGTCGAATGCTCATTTTGATCGTTGCTCTGGCTAGATGCAATGCATTATATATATATATATGTATTATACATATCTATATACATATATGTACACACCAGGATATGATTGTCTCAGTGTGGATGATTTGGCGTCGAATACAGTCTAATATCAATACAATATTATTGCAGCTAATAAATATTGAACTGTTCATGGTCATGTTCCGCTCAAGTTTCATTTCCAGGACCAAGCGTATATGCTTCAAGGGCGGCTCAAAATCAGGGCGGCAGGGGCCCGCAAAATCTGACCACATTCTCCTGTAAGAGTCATTCTCACCTCAGTTGGTCTTTGGTGTGACCGAAAGAAGCTTTAAAGCGGGAAACTGGGGAACATACCCGGAACCCGCCACGAGTGGCTCACTCACGGTGAGTCTGGCCAGTCACGTTCGGCTGCATTAGGCTCAGATCGTGGATGGAGCCGAATCCGGAGACGCTGCAGGGCTTGGTGTCCCGCATCGAGGCGACGAAGTCCGAAGTCCGAATTCCGCTCTGCAATGGTCGGCTCGTCGGCCAAATCGCCTGTTGGTGCAATCAGACTAGAGTGAAAATCGATGTCACAATTCACCTCATGTGGGTACAGTGCATGACTAAGCCAAATTGAGGGAATTGTGACATGTACTCTCACCCAACTGCAAAAAGGGACTCTTTTTGGAGCTGTATACTCATCTTTCAGGGACCAAAGTTGGAGAGGCTTTGCCAAGAGGTCAGCTTGGCACCAAGGCTGCAGTCCTTTGGAAACGTGACCGACGCCCAATGGCAGGTGCTGGTGAAGAAGCATATTTAGTATGCTTATCAGTTACGAGTTACGAGTCATAGGAAGTAGCCCCTTTTGAAGATGCACCCCATTCCAAGAGCCAGCGCATCACGCCATGCCATGTGCCCGATTTAACCCCTTTGCCTCTGCTCGCAGGTTGGAAGCGGCAAGGACCTGCTGCAAAGGGCGTGGCAAGTAGGCCTGGGTGATGCGTTTCAGCTTCAGCTTCCCAAGATCCCGAGCAGTTGCATCTTATTTGAACATCCCTTCGTTCACTCCGAAAATTCTTCCAAGTGAAACCTGCGAGCACGTGGCGCTTTGGGCGTTGGGACCTTTCGTGCGAGGTGATCAGTACAGGGTCTGCAATGCCAGCGGCTTCGTGGACGCCCTTGCACCTTTGGAGGCCTTCCCTGAGAAGGGCTCGGGTGTTTGCTTCGTCGGAAGAGACGTTGCAGACGAGTTCTCGCAGGTTCTTTTTGCAGAGACATGATTTGCAAGGCCTTCGGATGGTTGTTTCACAGAATGATTTTGCAGGGGAGAAACGGTATGTTTCACAGAATCAAGTGATTGAACATGGCCTTCGGACTTATCCGAAGTGTATCATGAAGGTGGTTGTGTCCTTGGCCGATCGATCAGCTTTCTTGTCTGGTGTAGATGCCGCGCAGGCTTTGCCGCCTAGTTGGGCGCGCACGCGCAAATGAGGTGTTTGGGGTGCTTTCAAGGGAAGCCAGGCGAATCACCCACAGGGGTTGCCCAATGGACTGCAGACATTCCCAAATCAAGTTTGCTCCGAGCCTCTAAATGATGATCAAACCAAAAGGTTGGTTTCCCCTGAAAATGCATGCCCTCGTGCTAGTCGGGTCTGAGCAACCAAACGGGCACGTGTCTTTGACAGGATTGCACATCGGCCATCGAGGTGAAGGACATTCTCCAGAAGTTGCTGGCAGACCGCAAGGACTCCAAGCAGAACTTGGGCTTGACCCTTCTGATGAAAACAAATGGAACCCCAAAAGGGGCTTCCCAAAAAGAGATCCCTCTGGCTCTGGCGGTTTTTGGCCAGCGTCCCGGCGCCAACGCGGAAGTCTGCGTTGCGCGAGGAAGAACACTCAAAGGTCCCAACAAACGGCTTCAAGCTTGCGTCACATGACCTTGTGCGTGTGTGTAGACAGAATACTCGAATGATTCGAATGCAACAATCATGTTCACATCTTTACTGCTGTTGATTCCTTCACTCTTGCTCCGCTAAATTGTTCCTGTGGGTCTTGGTGCAACCTGAAAGCACCAGCGACCCACCACTTCTTTCTGCAGGAGTTGCAGGACATCTCACAGCGAGCCTCTGACGTCGAGGCCATCAACTCCGCTGCCAAGAAGTTGGAAGGAGCCATAGAAAGCTTCTGACAGGAAGACTCTGATCCAAAGATAAGCACCCCTGTGCACCACCCTTCAGCAAATCTGGCGAGGGACCTCTTGAGTGAGTTTGTTGAAGTGCAACGCAAACGCTTGCCATGCAATATATGGGTATGTGTCAAAAAAATACACCCCCCAGAACAACGCACAACTCAAAACACAACCCACAAACACACACACACACACATATTGCGTGAGGGACTGTGATTTTTGTCTTTTTTTCGTCGCCCGCTTTGCTCTGACCGCTTTTGGGCTATGATTTTTCACAGGGAACCTCGCAAGTTGGACATGAGCCCCTGAATTCTGTCCACCTGTTCAGGTGGAGCAAACAACTCACACCCATCAGGTTTCTCAACATGGTAGACTTAGACCTTGTTTTGGATGGCCTTTCTGGGAGCCAAAAAGTCTAGCATTTTGATTCCCCTTCTGCTGAAAGTGCCTGCAGGAGTCTTCCAGGCGCTGGAGGTGAAGCTGGTGCAGTGCTTGGACGCTGGTCACCGTCTGCGCATCGCGCTGGGCGGCTCGCCGTTGTTGGCTTCTTGTTTGGGGCTCCGTCGTCGCGTAAACGCGCGCCCCACGAACGCAAGAAGCCCTAAAATTGTGGCAATTCACAGGGATCGAGTGTGTCTTCCCGGCAAGCGTCCAAAGTACTTTTCCACATCGTTTCAGCATGTCGCCTGCCGCTTCGCTCCAGCAGCACACATGCTGGCATATGATAAGCACACTCGCTCAAGCAGAACCCATGCCCAAGCAGCACACATGCTGGCCAACGATAAGCACACACGCTCAAGCAGAACCTATGCTGCACCCGCTCAGCACTGTATCCATGCCAGCCACATGGTAAGCACACCGGCTCCAGAGCACCCGCTCAGCACTGTATCCATGCCAGCTACATGGTAAGAACACCGGCTCTTGACGTTGTTTGGGCCTTTCACGTTCTTGGTTGTGCCCCCAACTTTCTTGGCTTACCGTTTGGTGGAAAATGGTGTGTGTTCTCCCACTACCAGAAAAAGAACACATCATGTTGGCGGGCAAGGACTACCAAGTTTGGGGGTCGTATGGTGAGAGTGACTTGTTGGAACACTAACAGTGTCATACAAAGGGGCCAGCACACAGGGAATGTAGCGTAACGTACTGTAAATGTAATGTAATGAAGCGACATGGAACAGAAATGCAGCGTGATTGACTGCGTTCTGCAGCAAAAGGCACATGCAACCTTGTCATGTACTTTAATGTGAGGTTTTGTTGAGTCAGCCACTTTCCTTCGCATGCTGCGCCGCCAGCCGCATGTCTCCAATGCAAATGAGCGGATGGATGTCTCCCGTGTTTTGTACGAGCTTTTGCTCCAAACCTACTCTGCAATGTAACATGGGTTGCCCAAAAAGGAGTCCCCCAAAAGGGGTTTGCCCTACTTCCATGTGCTCAAGAAATGGTTGTTTCCTTGGTGGTTCTGAACGGAATCTATTACTACCAGACATTCTATTATCATTTTCAATCAGTTCCCCCAACCACCCCAACCAAAAATGGAGGTCTACAGAAGATGGCTTGTTGGGGTTCCTTTTTTGCTAATGAGAACTTAGAACGCAGACCGAGGCCAGCTGAGTCCGGACACGGAGGTCGTGAAGTTTCAGGAGGCTGCGCCCCTGGCGTGCGCCACCGACCAGAACTTGAAGAGCCTCAGGAGATCACCAACTGAAAGGGGGACCAAGATCAACCAAAGGTCGAAATGGGCTTGTGTGCGTTTTGCTTGTGTCTTGCTTTGAGGATGGAGGTTTGCTTTTGGTTTCCCTTTAAACCACAAGAAAGGGGCACCCTCAAAACAGATGGACCACCCACATGGATTTGCTTGTGTTACCCTTTTCAGCCGCCAATCATTCCCCCGGAGAAATCGAGGATTTCTGGGTTTAATTGAGTCTACGAGGAAACCCTGACTTCTTTCTTGAGCCGCGTGTCCGAACATTTGTTGCATTTAGACGATCCAATCATGGGCGTCCTTTGAGGCGAGTTTAGTTGAACATAGATGGCCCACTCATTTACCAGTGCCACCTGTTTTTCCAAACGGGGGTGGTCATTTTAATGGGGTCAGCGGCCTTTCCCCTCAACGCTTTGGCGGTTCGGGACAACATGGCACGCTACATGGGTGCAAATATGGCTGTGTCAAAACAAGCGGACCCTTGTTTACTACCATGGCTTTCAAGCTTGAATGTTCATGCTGTGAAACGGATCTGTCGGTATTCGGGAGATGATAGGAGATTCAATAGACACAATATATTTAGGCAGAAACCCTTTTCCTATTATATCAGATCCTATCATATTATATCAGCTTGAGGAGCAATGCTTGCATTGTTCAACCCCCCACATGTTGCAGCATCGCAAGGGCTCGTGAGACAGCCTCTTGGTGTAGAGTTCGCAGCCTTCTGAAATTGGATGAGACTTGAGCCTGTCAATTTGTGTGACGATGTTGAAGCGCTTCAAACTGCGTCCTCTTTTTTTTTGCCGAGAAGTCGGTGAATAATTTTCTCCAACAGCTATGAGGTCTTTGGATTAGCTTTGGGGCAGGATCCGGACATTGCTATTTGGGGTTGGTTTTGCTGAAAGCCAACCATTTACAAGCTAATTGAATGATGATGTCACTGTAGTGGACCCACGGCTTACTTGCTCAATGGCTATGTGGCACCCTGTGGTTGAATTGGGCACATGAATTGCCTCAAGGGTTGGACCCAGCGTTCCATTTTCTGACCAGGTAGACTTAAGCCTTAGGGCTTGCCTCTATCAATGAATTGCATGTCTTCTTTAGATTCGACAAAATTGGGGGGTAAATCACCCCACAATGGAGAGCAAAGTACGCCAAAATTGGGGGCAACCGACGCCAAAGTTGGGGGGTAAATTACCCACACAATTTGGGGTAAATTACCCACAAAATTGGGGGCAAATTACCCAACAAATTTGAATATATTTGAGGTAAAATTGGTGGTAAAGAGTTTCTGCTACAGGCAAGGCTTAACTTAAGCCCGATGGTTAATATCCCCAAAGGGGACTTACAACCTTTTGGTCACACCAACCATGGTTGTGCTCTTCTCAGTTCCTCAGTTCCTGGACTTCATACTTCTTGGTGGCAAACCAAAAGGTTGGGACTTGTTTGGGCCAATTCACTCCAGTGAGTCTTGGCCAGCTGATCCGCAGGAGTCTGGTCCAAGGCCTGCGGAAGGCTCAGCAGGCGGAGCGAGAGCGCCAGCGCTTCGAGCGGGAGCGCGAGCTCGCGGGGCGCGCGGAGCACGCGGAGAGGCGGAAGAAGGCGAAGAAGGAGCGGGCTCTTTGCTGTGGCCGGTGCTTGCACAATTGGTTGACAGCTTGGTTGGTTGATATGGGCATTTGTTTTAAGTACCTTTTTTTTGAAGTAAAGCTGAAAGCTATGGGTTGTGCCTAGAGAATCGGCTTTGGGGGCTTTGTTTGGCTTGTCCTTTCAATCACGCGCTTCTTGGTTTGTTTGTTTTTCAGTGTTGGTTTGGTTTGGTTTTGGTTGGTTGGTTGGGATGGTTGATATTGGAGAGCTTGGTTGCCAGGTCTTTTGTTCGACTTGTCACCTGAACAAACAAACTCAAGGGCTAAAACAAGCTCATGATGAAGGTCCCTACTTGGGATCCGCACTTAAGTCAGTGATTTGTGGTAGTTCGCCCAGCCTTTCATCTTCATCGGAAGCATGTTTGTTTCCCCAGCAAATGGGGCCGATTTTTGTTTTGCCGGGGGTCAACGGTTGCAGCTCCCATTGCCGTGGTGGCGCTGGTTTGCTTGGGGAGTAGAGCGCCTTTGGGAGAAGAAAGCCATGGCTGCCACCAGAATGTTTTGCTGGATTTTTGACCAGGGAAGGGTTTCCTATGTTCCTATGGTCATGACTGCCCACATGACTTGACATTTTGAAAACATTTGTTTCCCTTTCTGTGTTGTAAATCATCCCTTCCCTCCCTCCTTGTTTGGGCATTTCCTTCGCGCCCAGAAGGAATCGGTTCCTGGACAACTTGAACCAAAGTGCCGTGTTTGGTCCAGCTTCATTGTTGGAGGGGGCACCTTTTTATTTTCAACCCTACTTTTTGGGTTGTGACTTTAGTCAGGGCACCGGAAACGGTTTCTATCAACCTGGTTCCGATCGCTTGCGCCAAATCTCGCGTGTAGCAACCAATCGAACCCACTTAACCGATTTTGGGTCACCCAAAGGCGTGGTTATGTCACCGCGTGGTTTGATGTTTGGGTTGCTGGGACATGCAGCCAGGATAAAACCTACTGCAGGGTGTATGTTCGTTTTCCCCTGGTTTGTTGGTTACAGGTAGCGGAAACCTTTCCCTTTGTCCAGTTTAGATGATGTCACAGCCCTGAGCAACCTCAGGCGCCGCCGGCAGCCAAGGCCAAGGTGAAGAAGTGGGCTGTGCGCAAGAGGGAGGCGGGATGAGAGGTTCTTCCAAGCGCTAGGTTGCTCTATATCAAGAGTATGGGTATGTGTCACAATCGAAGACCCTCAAAGTTTATCTGGAATTTTCCTTCTGTTGTCCCTGGAAGCCAACCTCAACATCTATTTTCTTACACACACACACACATGTCAAGCTATACGGAACCCTTTACCCCCCCTGGCGACAATTGTCTCAAGGATTTCTATTAAGGGTCAGGGGCAATGGTCGGTGACATGCTTCGATTGTGTACATCCTTGTTGCCCGGGTTTTGGAAATCTGTGCTTGTTCTTCCAATATGTTTGGCACCCTTGTTGCAGTCAGCCTTGCACAAAAGCTCTGTTTGCATTTTGAGATTCAGTTGAGTGGCGAGTCACACTTTGGAATTTGCGATGCTCTCGCAGAGTGTTTCCACCTGGGCAAGGGAATGCGAGGTTCTGGCCAGATATCCAATATGTCAATTTGGGCTTCTCGACATTGGAGGACTTGCCAAACAGCACAACAGGCAGAGAGGGTGTTTACTGTCAAAATTGTCCATGTCCTTCACGGACAGAGGGCATCCCCGAAGCTTTCCAGCGCAGGCGAGCCCCAGCTCTAGCGAGGAGACGCGCTCCAGCGAGGCGTGACGCGTGCGATCTGTGAGGTTTCTGGATTCAGAGGCTATCCTTCAAGTCCTTCCTTTTGTGGTGTTTTTTTTTTTTTTTTTTCGCGAACATGGCGCGCGATCGCAGGCAGAGGCTCCGACACCTCAAGCTGCGGCAGGCTGAAGTGAGACATGTCAGAAATTCTGAAGTTTACTTAGCAGGACTCCGAGATCAAAGCTGAGTCAGCTGAACCGGAGTTTTGCCCCGGAGAACGGGTTGCTTCCTCTGCCAGTGGCCGTGAGCTGCTAGCTTTCCTGGCCTTTGGCTGATCGTTCCAACTGTTTTCCGCGCAAGCCGAACCATACACTCTCCGCCGGGGCAAGAGGAGATGGCAGTCTTGCTGAGTTCACTCCAAGGATTTGTTGTTTAAATGGGTCTCACAATTTTACCTTTGAGGGTGGTTTCTTTTTAATCTGTAGTGCAATCGTCATTTGGACCCAGTTCTGCTGTCTTTCTCTCTCTTTCTCCAAGGCGGGCAATTTCAGTCCCCTGACTGACTTTTACCAGAGGCATCGCTTGAGCAGAGGCGTCACGTGCCTGCTGACACAGGCCAAGCGAGCCCAGAAAAGAGCCGAAGGGATCAGCGGGCCCCCCTGATTTCTCAAGGGATGCAGCAATGGCAAATTGGATCACGACTTCGGGATTTGGTTTGCCATCTAGGGCCCCATGAAGATTACTTGCAGAGGGGCATTGATTTTGTTGTCAAACATTGCGGTGTTTGTCAAACAAGGCATTTGTCAAACAAGAAACAATTTGTTTTACCTGTTCCAAGGCTTCGCAAGACGATAGCGACAGGTCGAAGGGTCGGAAAGACGAGGAGAAGGAGGTGAAGCGAACCCTTGGCTTTGAGCTCAGCGTGTCCGCAGCCCGTTTTCCCAGCGGTAGGGAGGCTCGTTTTGCCCAACCCTACAACCTGTCTACGTGACCCCCTCAGGCGCTTTTTGCCTTTTGGTCCAAACCAGGCAGAATTTGGCTTCTTGGCATCAATGGGGATGGCCAGGTACCACTTGGTGTGTTGCCTCCTTCGTTAGATTGCGACCCTGCAAAACCCAAGTGGGGGTCAATGCGGTTGTGAGAATAGCATTGCATAAGTTTTGTCAACAAAGACCAGTTTTGCGGGAAGCCACAGGAGATAAGGCTTTTCTTTTGCATGCTGAGAAGTAGCGCCTTGGCTCCAAAACGGGGGAGAGCGCTTCGTGACGCATCACGCCAACAATTTATCAAAAAAAGAAGCACAACTTGAAGTTCATTGGCGTGTGTCACCTGGGGAGGCTTATCCAAATGTCGGGAATCGCTTCACAGTTGATTCGCAACTGTGCTCCAGTCATTTAGTCGGGCTGAGCGAAAGTTTCGACTCCGAGGTTTTGTAGTGCTGCGAGGCCGCGGGCTCAGCTCTGCTCGGCTGTCGTCGGTTGGGGATTCTCTTTGCCCAAGCGAGCCTCGAATTTGGCGTCGACAATACGCACCCCAATGGTTGTTGGCTTTGAGGCGCGGTACACTGAGGGAAACCACAAGGAACGCCGAAATCGCAAACCAAATTTGAGACATGTCCGAATGCACGCTACTTGGTTGCCCTTAGTGTGACCTTGATTTCTTTGACCTTTTGGACAGTGACGATATTCCTCTCCCCCCCCCCACCACAAGCCAGCAAAAGGGTGTTGCAGAATATGAACAACCCAGACATATATACATATACATGCAGAATGCGCACAAACAGGCATAGCCACATCTGGAAGGGGGATACCAGGGGTGCTTACCCAGGGCAGGTTCAGCCCCTAGCTTCAAGGGTTCCCCCACGCGATTTTCCGCCCCCTTGGCTTCTCACAGTCCTGAAGCCGGATATGATGTCCACTCAGCCTCCCGTGGGCTTAAGAACTTTGCATTCGCTTCCAGCTTTTGGAAGGCGTTTTTGCCCGAAGACATCCAAGCAGCATTTCTTGTTTTGGGGGGGCCATTTTCCTATTTCAGGCTAGGCTACATCCGGTGCGTTGCTGAGGTGAGACCATCGTGTCCCTCATGGCCGAGGTTCCTGGCTTCGTGGGTTGACCATCTTTATTTTGGGCTGTGACTGGAGGAAGCTAAAGAACTACTTTTCTGGGGGGGTACCAGTTTCCCGCATGTTTGCGCAGGGTTTGGTCTGATTTTCTTCCTGAACCGCCCTCCCACTTTGTGAGCAACCCGTTACAATCTGGACCAGAGTTTGGACCCTTGGGAGTTCTCTGTATCCCATGAGGCGAAGTCATGTTGGAAGTTGCCCCTTTCCACAACCGCTTTCCAAGAGCTATTCAAAGGAGCAGGCGCCCCCGCTTGTTGAAGGCGGCCAACACGGTTTAACAACTTGTCCAACTTCGATCCCTTCTTCTGGAGTCCCATTTTTTGAATCTTCTTCTTGGATCCCTTCTTTTTTGATCTTCTCTGGATCCTCATTTTCTCACTTTGTTTTCTTGGGGTCGGACCTGTTTTTTGCGACCCGCTTGTTCCCGCCCGGTTCCTTCCTTGCGCGCCAGGCCCCACCGCCCACGGGGCCCAAGAAGCCGGACATCCAGCCCGGCCCTGGCCGCGGTCAGGCGCGCCTTTTCGTGACGGACCCCATCGATCGAGCGAAGGAGCTCCATGGGCCGAACAGCTGGGTCCAAGTGGAAACAAACTTGGGACTTATACATTCGTGAGTGCAAGCCTTGGAGAATTGGCGAACCCCCAAAAAGTTCCCCGGATTGGGTTTAAATGCTAACTATACATGAGTTTAGGCCTCCCTTTTGGGCCCCAGAAGTCTGGAAAGCCAAGTCTTTCAAACCTCAGGGTCAGGCCCCCTCCAATGCAAACCCAATGGAAACAACCATTTTGATCGCCTCAAGGCTGAAGGCTTTCTGCCTTCGGATCGGGGCTCCGAAAATCGTGCACTCCCAGAAGGTGCCTCTAATATCTATACTGAATCTATACAGCATGTGTAGATCCATGCATGTTTGTATATGTGTGCAATGTGTATGTGAATTGGTACTGGGCATGTAAAGGGTGAATATGAGTCTAGGGCTTGAGTCCCCATCGTTCTCTTTAGAAAACTACTCATTTTCTTAGGGTTTTGATCCATTTGCTGAAGAGAAGCATCTCTGAAGAGAGTGGGGATTGTATGGCTAGTAGCCGGGTGAGCCCTTTGCAGCTGCGCAGGTGGCGGGCCGTGGAATGCCTGCAGCGTGGTGGGCCTAGGTCCCTTCAGTCGCAAACGACTTGGGGCAATCAAGCCTCAAACCAACGGCCCTGAAGCAGTGGGAATATGTTTGACAATCCAAACTGGCCAACCTACCACCAAGAAGCGTTCGCCATTTTTGTCTTGGAAGACTGCCTTGCCACTCCCAACCGCCTGCATGTTTTGCATGGGGGGAAACTGAAAACTGGACAACTCTGTCAAAAAATGGGTTTCGGGCCTCCAAAATACTGGATTTCCTCCAGAATGAGAGTTCCAAGAATCCGTTTCCTTCAGACCATTTTTATGTTCCCCTGGTTTTGAAGGGAACCGTTTCACAACGCGCACTGCGCCGTTTCACAACGCGCTCGGGAGCTCAGGCCCCTCAGCTCCGCCCCCGCGGGCCTGGCCGGCCCCGTGCGTGGCGTGGGCGGCGCGAGAGCCCAGGAAGCCAGCTGCCGGGACCGAGCCGTTTTCGGGCACGGAAACTTGACTGGGAGGAAGACCATTCTGCCTTGTTCTTATGTTGTCCAAACTTCTTGTTTTAGGAAGACTGGGATGTCATAGTGAGTGCTGTTAACTCTCTCGTCCTTGGCTCTCGGTCGGGTTGATCGTCTTTCTCGGGGCCATTTTGGCTCAAGTCCTTGCTGGGACTCACGCGGAACCTGGATGTGAATACCCTGAATCCGGGACTGGGGCCGGCAGGAAGCAGACACAGCCAACAGGCTGTGTTTGCTGCCCTGCCCGCCCTGGTTTGGGTTAATTGTGCCACCCTCGCGGTTTCGGGGTAAAACTGCGAGGAGTGCTGCGGGAAGTACTTCAGATAACCCTTGGTTGGCGCATTTGGATTTGAAGCCCTGGATCTTGTGGGTAGATGGGGTTTCTCACCCCCTTGAACACCGACCCCAACCGCCAATCAAAAGCAGCAATTTTAGAGAGAAGCTGATCCTTCTTCACCTTGGTTTCCAAAAGCAAACTCACAATGTTGTTTTTGCCTTTCTTGTGTTTGGCTTTGAGGGGGATCCCCCATGTGACACATACCGAGTTGAGTCACAATCGAAACCTGGGTGGTGACATCTTGCATCTTTGCCCTCGACTAAAATCGCGAAGGAAGGATATATTTAAATCCTGGTCTGCGTTTGAACGTTGACAAAGGGTAGATAAAGGTTTGTGGTTGGAACAATCCCAGCCATATTTAAGTGCTCTCTTGATTCACACGGTTTTGGCTAGACTCCTTTGATGCCACGACTTGAGACCATCGCTGAATCAGATGGGTCCAACTCGCCTGAGGTCCCGCGGCCATCCAGATGCAGCCCAAGGCCGGCGGTGCGCTGCCTGCCCCCGGAGGGGCACCGCCGGGGGCCTGGACAATTGAAGATCTTGCCGGGGTCATTCTTTGGGTTCTTTTTCTGGGAGTCAAAGTCGAACTTTAATCTGCCACTTAGGGGCCTTAGGGGGTGACCTTGATATTGGTAATTGTGTTGGCCAGTTTTGAATTGCCGTTTTCTGTGATGACATGGGGATCCTCTAAGAAAAACCTTCAACGTAACAACGTAGTCATAGGGATGGGAATCGCATCGCTGGAAGGGCTATGTCCCATGCCTCCATCCCGTGCAACTCCCCGCAAAAGCGACGTGTCCTGTTTGGGTGGTTCCTGAAGCAAGTGGCCCTGAGCCCTCAATGGCCTCATGCTTCCCTAGATTGCTGAATGCTTTGGGTTTCTAACTTCAAAACGGACAACTGTGACACAAGCTTTTGCCAGCTTTTCTTCAGACCACTCCAAGGGTAGTGTCGACCGCAATTTGCGATTTCAGCACGTCCTTTTTGTGCGGGGCCTGTTTCTTCCACAGTGCCCCGGATTGGTGACTTTGCGCCTAGGGATCAACATTATCTTTTTCTGGGTTTGTTGACCTTTGTGTTCAGTTCTGCATGTTTTTTTTCTGTGGGGGCTGCTAAGGACAGAGCTTTTGATTGCATGCCAGGGGTGTGGGAAGTTTTGGAGATCCAAACCGCTGGACATCGAGGGACCCCGGGGCTCTGTTGGGACCCCGGGGCTCGTGGGGTCCCGGGGCTCTGTTGGGGTGGTTCATCGTGAAACTAACATCGAATCACATCATGGCAATGCTTGGAGCTCGTTGCTTCGGTTTGATACAGTTTACAGAGCCAATAGGCATTGAAGGCTCCTGCAAATGACCGAAGCACCGGTCCGCAACAGGAATTCCTTTGAGCGCTAATCTGCACGGGAGTACTCATTTTATTGATCTAAACTTCAAGCCACTGGGCATTGATCGCACTGCTCGTTTGTGATCTGAATGGATGAGGAAACCAAGCACTACGCAGATGCATCATTTTGTCAGAGACGTAGTCGTTGCCGAAGCTCGCGTAAGATGTCGCAAGCCCAATATCACACAAATGGAAGCTGTCATGCACCCGCAGCAAACTCGAATGTAACCCTAAACCCGCAGCAGAGCGTCTTCTTCTGCAACGGCTTTGTGGGTTGCATGGATTTTGTCGAATCCGGCTGCCTTGACAGCATTGAGGCCTGGAATGCCCCCGGGCTTCGGCAGGGGCATGCGGCAGCCTCGGGGGTCGCAGGGGCACTCCGCACTTGGGCCAAGAACATGCTTTCAGTTCTTTGCTCCTTGAGTTTTGTTGACTTTTTTTTGTTCTTGCTTGGATCTTCGGCCAGGTTAGTAAGTGGCTAGCCTGTTGGGTTGCAAGCCTCTAATAACAAAGTTGGCCCCACTTGGGGGGACTCAGAACTGGCTTAGAACCTAGGTTACCAAGAAAACTTGGTGTGACTACCGGTCAAGTACTTTCGTCTTAGGGGCATGGTGCCACCGGGCATGCCGGGAATGCCGCCGGGCATGCCTCCTGGAATGCCGCCAGGCTGGGTTTGAAGTCGTTCTCGGTTGGGAGTCATACGCTATGTTTCATGTCGCACGTAATATGACATCGCATAAACAGTGTATATAATATGTATACTGGTGTATTTGTTGTTGAGGTCTGTGTAGCAGAGAGGTGACGGACATCGATTGCGCACCCCCAATTGGAACCAAGCAGCCTGGCTTGTTGCACACACCCCTTTGCAAGCCTCTCTACATATGTTGCCTTTAAGCTTGCTTGCCGTGCCAGGTGGGAGGCGTTGGTTGCTATGTGATGTGTGGGAAGACATATTTTTCCAGCACCACCACTGCCACTACTACGACTTTCGCTGCAACTTTGACGACACACACCACTGCCAGCACCACCGCCGTCGCCACCACTACCTTTGTGCTCCTGCTTCTGCTACTACTGAGACACTACTGCTACTCCTGCTTCTGGTGCTGCTGCTACTGCTGCTGCTGTTCTACTGGCCACTACCACGAGCACTACCATGACTACATTTGCTCTACGACTATGCCTACTATGGCGAGGATTGCTGCTTGGTGTGGCTCGTTGACGGCCGTAGTTTGCACGCCAAGTTTATGGCGCAGAGGATCACCAGGCATGGCAAAGCAACATAAAATGCACACCTGCAGCTCTTTCTTTGCGATCCCCTTTGCATGCTAGTCTTTGTCGGATTGGCCGGTAAAACCTTCGCTGAAACTGTTGGAAGTCCTGTTAGACCTCCAAAGGTGATCGATGATTTGCTCCAGTGGGTTGTATTATCTTCCATTTGCTACAAAACATGTTTATTCACCCCTGTTGGTTTGAAGGGAATCCATCACAACTGGAAGTATTGGTATTCCTTGCAGGGGAAAGTAGCGAATGGAGGCTATCCGGTGGTCCCGTGGGTTGTATGCAGATTTTGTCTTTGCCAGGAATGGGCCGGGGCATGCCGGGAATGGGCCGCGGCATGTGAGCGCACGTACCGGAAAGAGAGCCAGCTCGTGTTCAGCTGGTATGGTTTTGTTCCGCGTGGCCAATCTTGAACAGATCTACAACATGTTCCAACGGTTTACTGTGTTCGGCCACAGCCCCCAGAGCAAAGGATTCAAGGTGCTCAGCTGGGTAGGAAAATGCGGAGTGAGAAGATTCGGAAATGACAAGCGCGGGTGTAAGACAATGGTGCGCTGGCAGAGGAAAAAAGGTCTCGACTTGGCGCGCCCCGCGGTTTAAGTTTGATCAAGCGCACGAAGTCATTCTGGCCTGATCGGCTAGGAACTCGGCGGCGCAGGGCGAGTGCAGCGAGTGCAGGGAGCTGCTGATGTCACGATTGGGGGTTCGTGTTTCTGTGTCTTGCGTTCTCCATCTCGGTTCCTGAACCATTTTTGTTGGTTGGGACAGTTTCCGGGCAAGCTTCCTTGTCGCGAGCTTCACGCTTCGCCGGGCCGCAGGTCCAAGGGGTCCAGGGGCCCAGGGGACGTGAATTGAAACGGAAGGCAGTCCCCTCCAAGACCCAGAGTCCCATAGGGGAGAAACATGAATCTATCCACTTTGGGTCTTGGAAGGTCAGGATTGCACGGGCTTTTCACCTCAATCGCATGGCCTTTGAGTGAACCGAACCTGATCTTTGTTCTTAGGGGTTTAGAAGTGGAAGGTGTTCGATCCAGCGCCGTGGAAAGCGCAAGTGGAAAGCGTGGCTTGAGCAAGCCACTTTTTGAAGCGACGCAATAAGCCCAGTTCGCCGTGGGGCTTGTCCCCAAGGGCCCCAGTTCAGAGCACCATGGATATGAGGCTCGGCAATGATGCGCTTCGCTGCTCTGTTTCTTCTGCCGACTCCCGGACTAGTCAACCTTGCAGATTCATAGGGATGTTCTCCTAAAAGTCAGGGACTCCCTCTTAAATGAGACACCCACTATTCACCAACCATGGATTGACAAACCCTGGGTTTCCATCATTCGCGCTTTGCAGCTGTTGCCTGAATCGAGGTCCATGCGTTCACTAGAACCTAACAGGGGGACTGCTGTCAATTCAAGTTTGCAATTCAGCAGCGCCAAGACACGAAGAATTGTGGGCCATTGGTACGGGTTTTTAGTATTGCTTGCGTAGCGAGTGTGTAGTTGGTTTGCATGGCTTTCCCTGGAACAGAGGCTAGGGATTCATACAAATGGCCCACGTAATTTTCTCTAGCTGTTCCCCACTTGCAAAACTTGGTGAGTCAGCCGTACCCTAGCAGTCTTTCATCTGAGAAAGCAGTCAGGAATCAGGAAATGCTATGTTGAAGGTTGGGTGATGTTCTTTAGGCTGAACAATATGATTGCAAGACTCTTAGGCTTGGATCGTATTGGTTGAAATTCGATGTCAAATAATGCGGTTCCTTTGAATTTTCGGCCGAAACGCCTTCTGACGCCAGGCCTCCACCCCCGCCTCCCGGCCTGAGCTTGGCCCGGCCGGCCTGCGTTATAGCCGAAGCTTTGCGGACTGGGAGTTGTTTCCAAATGGGTTTGTGTTCAAACAGAAGCGTGTGTTCTTCTAACAAACGCCAATGGCCGGTTGACCCCTCACAAGACCGCGCTGACCGCAAACAATCCGCCGCGCCAGGCGCAGCAGGCGCAGCAGCTCCAAAGTGCCAAGTTCGGGGGCGTGGGAGTGGCGCCGAAGCTACCCATCAACATGGGCCCCGGTCCGGGTGGTCCGGGCGGTCGGGGCCCCGGAATCCCCGGAACCCGGGCATTCGGAGCTGAGCTCGGGAGGGAAGTGGCAGGGAAGAATGAAATTCGATTCATGGGTTGGGGATGCCGTTGTTGGGTGGGGGATTCTGTCCTGCGATGAGCGCTTCAGTGCAGAAGGGAGGTTGGTTCCTTTTGAATTAGGCTTCAGCCCCATTTTGGGGCCTTCTGTTGTCTTTCGGAACCGGATCGAGATGTTCCATTGGGAACTCCACAGTTCAACATGTTTCTAAATCTGGGGCAGGTGGCAAGGGTTTCCCTTCTGACCCTATGATCAATGTGGTTGGCATCCACGTTAACTTCTGAGGGGCCGTTCTCTCGCAAATCCACGTGGAGTCGCAACAGGTTGGGCGTTGGATTTTCATTCCAAAAAACAAACATGCTTTTCGTAGTAACACCCATTAGGTTTGGGTTTTTTGTTTAAAGAACACTTTTTTTAGTGGCATAAGCGGAAGACTCAATGCGAGAGTTCCCTGAACACGTCAACGGCAAATCCCGCCTCTGCTCTGAGGTCCTGGCTGGCAGGGCGGCATGCAAGGCGGAGGCCCTCAGGGGAGTAAAGTACGCCGTGCGGGTCACGGGTTTTCGGAACCCGAAACCCCCGACCCCCCACAAAACCACGCCGACAACAAACAAGACAAAGCCAAATGGGTCAAACTGGCCCAGCACAAACAGCCCGGCAGCCAAGGAAGTTCGTACCACCTTGCCCTTCCATCCGCATGCTTGCACTCTTGAGAGCAAGTGCTTTGCAAAGGGCGTTTGCTTCCTTTATGCCTCGTACTGGCATTTGCCTGGTAAAGCTGCAGTTTGTGAGGTTTGGCCCGGTCTCAGGAGTACAATACCCCTTAAGAGATGCTTGCACGGATTAACCCTTTCACGTTTGGCATCCCAGGAGTGGCTAGGTTCCTTCAGTGCGATTCGTCACTTGCCAGGGACTGTCTAATTCTAAGGGTTGATTTTCTTGCCATTCTCCTCACTCATTTCCCTAAAGCCCCCCATTTTTTTGGGGCTTGGCCCTATTTCTGCCGAAGGCAATGGAGAGGGTACGGCTAGACTAGCTACTGACTTTTTCTGATGCCCGAGTTTCCTTCTGGCCGAGAACCAGAGTTGACTCCCCGTTCTGTTCATCCTTCTGTTCCGAAACACATGTGCCCCACCGTTTTGGCCGAATGAAAAAGGAGGAGACTGCTAGACCTATTGTTCAAGTGCCAAGATAGAGATTTGGCGATTGGCCCCCCAAAAGGATTGGTTCCCTTTTGGTTTCCTTCCTTGAAACCAGCCTGAAAATGGCACCTGCAAACACGCAGACACAGCCATGCCCCCTGGCCCCATGCCAGGCGGCATGGGAAGCATGACGCAGCCAGGGATGCGGCCTCCTCGGAATTGTGGCCCTCCGGCGTTCCCATGGCCCAAGTGGGCTGGTCCTTGTATAGGGCATTAACTCGGATCAACCTACTTTGCAAACGGGCCATACGCATGGTCATATACTTGCCGCACTTGCAAGTGGCTTATGCCCTAGCTAACGAACCATCTGCTGACTCAACGAATGTCCAAGTAGAGGTCTACTCAGGCACACGGCAATTAGAGTCCTCAGAACACCAACATGGCCCAGCAAATAACGGAGGTAAAAACCATGTGGTGGAATGATCCCAAGATTGGCTTTGTAGTGCAGATGGCTTGATCTTTTGCGTGCTTCATGTCCTTCTGACACAGATGTTGGTAAGGCGTTGGAGCGAGAGTTCCACAAACCAGATATAGTCAGAAAAAAGCCCGATGGGAACCCATGATTGATACACCTCCGGTCGATGGATTCGGGGTGTCCACTTTCAGCGGGTTTGGTTTTGATAGTCAACCAGGTTAGTTTCTACGCACTCGACACTCGATTGTGGGCTCGTTCTGATGGATGCAAGGCAGGCAAACAGAACTTCCAGAAAGCATGTGTTTGTTTTGGTTGTGATGCAGGGAGGCTTGACGATTCCACTTTCGCATTCAACAGACATCTGATTTTGGCCGGCAAGCTGCCATGTCTGCCAATGTTTCCGGCGTGGCCTGCATGTAAAGCCTCATTTGCTTCAACAGCGCGCAACGAAACAATTTGAAGTTCAGCAGCGATATGACACTCAACACGCATTGACATGTCCGTGTCAGTGTTTCGGCTTGTTCTTCGAAGGGAATATGCGAATGAATATGCGCATTAACATTCCAACTATTGGAAGGTTTTCTCATAGCCATTGTCATTCCCACGTTCATTGCTAAGAACAACCTCGTTTTTGCGCAGAAGCTGTTCCGAGGTCCAATGGCATGCAAGGCTCGGGCATGCAAGGCCAGACTGGGCTGGTCACAAGCCCGAATCACCAAAGTCCAAGCTTGCTCCAACAATGGAGATGGACAGAGGGCTTCCCAAGGAAAATCGTCGTTACATTTGCACCTGTTGCAGGGGTCCTTTTTCACATGCGACTCTATGCTTCACATTCAAAGGTTGGTTTGAAATGCCCCACGGTTGGACATCTGGGCGTGAATTTTAGTGGAACGCGGACCATCATTTTGGTGGGGGAGTCATGTGCGCCAACCATTTTTGAGGTGTGGCCCCTGTGGGAGGCGTTTAGGATGGACAAATTTCACATGGCGCGAGCTAGTGAGAGTTCCTTGGCAGGCGGCATGCGACCGAGTTGGGGCGGAGCGCAGCCGCTCGACTGAGGATGAAAGTGGAGCGCTAGTCATTGAAATACAATTCATTGGAAGGGAGATGTTGACACTGGGTTAATTCAAGAAGAACAACGAACTGAAGCCAAAATTCCAGTGTTTGTTCTTAACGACATGGAACTACTTTGCATCAACATCACTTGCAAGTGCTGCACAGGCGCACGTGCGTACACGCGCACACACACACAAGCAAACACCAGCACAAACACAAACACTAGCACTAGCGTGCAGACGCACAGAACACACACACACACAGACACACTCCCACGCACCCAACCGAACACAAACGGCATTAAATGGACCCGCCAACAGCACCACACTTACACCGCCTAAAGCAACCATGCAGATCTGAGGCAGTTCGGGCAGGGCCAGGGCGGCATGCCGAATTATTCGTGCCTCGGACGCTTCAAGCGAAAAGCGCACGGTGAGGTTCGAATCCCCCCGGACAAACCTCGACAGAGAGGTCAATATCAGACTGGGGAGGGTAAGTGATGCTCAGGATACTTCACTCGTAGGAAGGTGTACATTGCCAGACTCAACCAAGCTTTTTGCATTTTTTGCCCATTTGGGTTTCCTTCATTTTGCCATGTAACTAGCAAAATGTGACGACGCTTTTCAGTTGCTATTGCTTTGCTTGCAGTGCCCGAGGCAGCCGATGCCTCCTGGGCAGTACACGCCACAGTCTCTTGGACTGGAGAGATGAATAGCATAGTGTGGATGTGCAGAGACGTGTCGTCATTTTCCATGGTGTAAGAATTTGCGAACGCAGATGAGTCATCGCGCAGCAAACTTGTACGCCCAGGGGCGGAAAACCTGGTCAATCCATATTCTCTCGTGGTTGCTCCCGGCTTCCGGTCTGTTGCTAAGGCAGTATGTTGGGAGGCCCGGTGGCAACTCCCCCGGCGGCCTGCAGCGAACGATGCCTGGCAGCAGTCAGCCGAAGTGACGCCTTACCCTTTGCCGAACCGAGCCCGTTGCCTGGTCTTTGGTGCATCCAAGTATGAAAAACACATGGTAGGTCACCATGAAACCTCATCCACCCTCTCATGCACCTCACTCCACATCCGTCGCAGTTCATTGAACCTCCTTTGGACATCTGCCGGGCACTCCACGTTTTGTAGCGCAAGCCTCTGAAAAGGGCAGGTTCCCAAAGAGCGTTGGGGAAGCTTGTTCAGCCATTTTAAAGATGCTCATGAGGAATGCTGAATGCCTGAATTCACTTTGTTTGGCATGTTCTGTTAATTTGTTTTGTGCTTTGGCTCAGTTCATTTTGCGTGGGTGGCTGCAAAAAGCAAATGCACGAGGGGGTTGGGACCTACAGCCGAGACCAAATGCAACTTGGCGCACGCTTCGATCAGGAACAGCTACGGCAACAGCGGCGGCTATGGGCCAGGCAGGGCTTGCAGTCTTGCAGCGTTTTTACAGGTTATTGACCCTCCCTGGTTTGACAAGCCACCTGCTTTAAGTTCATTAAAACATCCTCCCGCTGAACCGTCGGTTTCAACAAGGATGGTTTCAACATGCTTAATTCACGTCCCAAGTTTCTGGATGCAGACAGCGTGGACTTCTTGAGGCCATTTGCCCAGGAAGTGAGACAAGCAACAGAGTCGTCTCAGTCTCATCCTTCGTACTGAATATATCAAGCTAAATGACGCCTCGGTATGAACCCGCTAGTTTGTTGGTCAGTTAAACGATGATTCGGGCTGGCTTCATGGGTAGGGGTTCGCATATGTGCGTTGGTCCAAACACCCTTTAATGCTTGGGGTTGGTAGGGATGGCCCCCTCTATAGAGGGTTTTGGACAGCCACAACAAGGACTGCTTGAAAGGGAACCATGACCATTGGACCATGGCACAAATGAGGCTCGCTGGGAATATGCTATGTTCAATCTGGGGGGAAAAAGCACAGACTCAATTGAAAGCGGCGCTACCAACGTTTTTGCAGACAAATCCAGGAGAGGGCCGGAAGCACTCCGCTTGTCTCTCCGAAGCGTCAGGCGGCGGCCCTGGCGGCCCTGGCGGGCCGCTGGTTGTGCCGCCGCCTCCGGGGGGGCCGGCGCCGTTGTCGAATCTGTCGGGGCCGCCGGGGCCCCCGCCGGGGCCACCGCCCATGCAGTACGGCCAGTTCGGGCTGCCCAGCGCGGGACCCAGAAAACCGGGGAGGTGGCATTTGCCCCAGAACTGCAATGTCGGTCATGCCAATAGTCCTTCACAGCCCTGGAGATGGGAGTGGACCCAAGTGGTTATGTGTTTGCATGAACCACCTCACAGTGGTTGGTGGACAATCCCCACCATGGTGCGCTGTTGATGTTGCAAGATTCCTGGTGCGCCAGCTTGAGCTGAGGTGCGAGAGGTCAGCATCCTGGCGGCAGGCGAAGGGGAAGGGGCACTTTCGGGCGATGGAGATTGCAGGTTTCATTTGTTTGAAGCTCGTTTGTTTGTTTTCCTGTTGGCTTTCAAGGGACGTGGACATGCCTGGTCAAACTCTGTCAATTGCTTTAGCGCCGCAAAAGCAAATGGAAGTGATTCACATGCTATCTCTGTATTTTGTTTTAATTTGTGTTAATTTGTTTGTCTCATTTTATTTTACATCAAGTCAACAGAAGACTGGGTTACTTGAGGAAGTTGGATCTAGCATACATAATGTCAAATTGACCTCTCAGTCCATTATGTTAAAGTTACTTGGTTATCAGCTACCATGATGATTTGCCTCGCAACTTGATAGCTCTTGTCTATTTGGAAATGTCAATTCATGATATTCATGTAGGTCATGCTATGTGCTCCCGCAGCATTGCTCTGAGGCGAGGCGGCCCTCACGGCCCTCACGCCCGCCCGCCGCCGCACCCCAACTGGAAGCCCGGCCAGCCACCGCCGCCGCCAGGCGCGCCGGCCGCGAGTTGCAGCCCGATTGTGTGTGTGTGTGTGGGTGCGTGCGTGCGTGCGTGCGTGCGTGCGTGCGGGCGGGCGGGCGGGCGGGCGGGCGGGCGGGCGTGCGTGCGTGTGTGCGGGCGGGCGGGCGGGCGTGCGTGCGTGCGTGCGTGCGTGCGTGCGTGCGTGCGTGCGTGCGTGCGTGCGTGCGTGCGTGTCAAATAGGGATTTGGAGTCCCAACATGGCTTTGGTTGTCCTTTTGGTTTCCACTTAATGAGAAAGGTACCCCTGGGTCGTGTTTTGGTTTTGTTTGTTTGTCCGTGTGAGCTTCATGTTTCTGGGTCGTGGTTTCCTATGGCAGGCCCTGGCCCACCGGTTCGCGTGCCCGGCAGCACGCTGGAGGCGCTGGAGTTCGCGCTCGGACAAATTGGATGTTGTGTATCTTATCAAATCTTACCCTCATAGGAGCCTTCGTAGGGACCTCAAACCAGGTCTTGCCACCTGTGTTGGAACAAGTTTGACATACCTCCAAGAGGAAACCGCCACTTTTCAGGGCCCGTACACTCCTTCGATAGTCAAAGGGACAGCGCGCTTTGAGGTTCAAATGAAGGAGAGTGCAGCTCGGGGTTCCCCATGTTTTGAGCATCACATGTTGGTCCAATTTGTGAGTTTTCTTGAAGCAGGGTGGAGCCCAGCCGCTTGACCGGAAGCGCTTCGCATAGGCCGCGCTGGCTGCGGCACAACACCTGGGTGCTGACCGGGGCCCAGTTAAGGGGAGCCGCGTTTTTGTTCTTCTTCGCGGAACTCCGATCTTGGTGGGTGTTTCTCAGCCCCATTTCTGTTTTTGCTGCCTCCATTTTGCCTCGTGGTTTTGTGCCCACACCAAAAGAGAGGTTTGGGGCCGAATAAAGAGAGTTTTTCAAAGGGGGGTCACCAGAGTTTCCCTTGAACGCCGAGTTTGAACCTGATGGGGAGGCCTTTCAAATACAGCCCCCTCGTCAGATTGATCTTCGAAGCACCCTCCCACAGGTGCTAGGGTGACGTTGTTGAGAATTAAATTTGGACAATAAAGTTGTCCATGGGAGATACCCTCTTGTCTCGTCAGTTGACATGCGACAACAATGAAGCTTGTCGCAGGGCGGGATGCTGGAGGCCCGGCCGTTTTTCGACGCTTGCAGAGTTCCGCGCCAAAAGGACATCAAAAGCCTGGGTGTTCCTACGGAGGATAATGTCAGCGTGGTCCATGTAGGTGTGTCTTCTTTCTGGGACCCCCAAAATGTGGTCTATCCTTTTGATTTCCCTTTAAAATTACGAAGACGGTGCAGCCTCAAAAAGGACACCCATTTCAGCGTGGTCTATGTCGGCATTCATTTTGCCTCAAAAGGCGGGCATGCCTGGGTTTCGCACCCGCCGGGATCGGTGGGGATGTGCCAGGCGACCTCCGCGATCGATTTCTCTGCCAAGCTAGAGGACTAGGGGACACCGTCATGTGAGTCACTGCTTATTGGGTGTGTCTTGGTGTTTCTTAACATGTCAGACCGAAAAGCGGTGGGCCTCCCTTTGATTTCCCTTTAAAATGACCCCAAGCAGGCTGCAAAACTCAAAGAAGACACCCATATGATTCGTATTCTACGGTTGGTTTGGGCAGGACACCCAAAAATCTGCCCAGCGACCAAGGAAGACCCAATTTGCATGGGGGGATGAACAAACAAGTAGATGGTTGGGATTGTCTCAGTCAAGAAGGACCTGGCATTGCAGTTTCTTTGCAGACTCGCAGGATCTCAGGAGGAAGCACCCCCAGGCGCCGACAGATCTATCTTTGCAGCCAATCCCTTGGAGACTACGAAGACGAGAAACTCCCTTCTGCTTACGTGTTTTACGTGTTTTTCGTTGCTTTGAATCCGGGTTTTCATTTGTTGGTTGGCGGAGTCACGAAGGCCCATAGCGACGCGTGCAAACAACAACAAAATGCAAATGCTTCCATTGGCGCAGAGAATCTTCGGAACAACCCCAGACATTTCCTTCGGCCACCTTCGGATATTTTCTGAAAGGAAGCTTACCTGGTGTGCCATGGGCCCCCTTTGTAGTGGCTTCCCTCGGGGGATTAGCCAACCCTCCATTTTGGCCAAGCCCAGTTTAAGGACCAAAGCCTGGTCGGTCCCTCCGGAGGTCACCATATCTGTGCGCAGGTGAAGGTTCCTTCGGATGCTCGGCACTTAGAACAGGTTGGCAGGCTTTTCTCCGAGTGGGGGGGAACGGTTCTTAAAACGGGTTTTTAACATGTCTAAATGGACATCGAAACCAGCCATTTTTAAAGTCCCCTATTTGAGAACCCTCGAGTCTGTAGAAGATGACGTAAAGACTGAGGTGGTTTCATCGGTTTGGCCTCCCTTGGCCAACTGTATGCTACCAGGGTCAATGGACTGTTCGTCTCAAAACGTTGGAACCCCCCCAAGCAAAACAAGAAAGAACAAATCATCAGACAAGGCGGGCTGGGTAGGTTGACATGTTTGATTTGTTTACTGGTTGGCTACTTTGTTTCCCTATCTGATGTTTTTTGTCTTTTGGCGTGCTTGCTTCCTTTGTCCATTCTTCTTGGTTTGATTGGTTTGGTCTGGTTTGCTTCTTGGTTTGCTTGTTCTGGTTTGGTCTGGTTTGCTTCTGGTTCTGGATTGCTTCCGGTTTACCTTAGTTTTGGTCCTTCCCTTGGAGTTATCCTCAGTGTTTCCGTCATTTTCTGCTCGCTCCGAGGCATGGACCTGGAAGCCGGAGGAGTTAGAGGCCTGGTTCGCCAGCGGCGGCACCTCCAAGGCCGGAGATGCCTCGACGGAACCTGCACCCAGAATCACCCAGAGACCTGAGGTCTTCTAACACTCACCTTTGTGAGGCTCAGGTGAGGTTTGTTGGTTTTGACGTGCCTTTGTTAACCGCTGAAGCACGAATTAGATTCGGGTCTTGTTTTTCGTTTGAAGGAAGGGAGAGGAGGAACTCCATCTCAAAATGAACAGACATGAGCACGCTTGGTCGAGCTCGGCCCCTTATTCCAAGGGATTATACAAATCAGAGCCTGGCGCCAAAATGACAGGGTGGCATCAACAGAAGGAACCCTGAAACAGACACTTTTTCATAGAGTGGTCCCTCCTTGAACCTTGGTTGTTGGAACAGCTTTTTGCGGTGAGCTCACGTGGAGATTCGACCCACACCTTTTGAGGAGTCCCCTTTCACTGCTTTTTGCGAGTTTGTTGAGTCACGACTCCCGCCGGACCCACTTGAAGGCTTTCGCGGCTCTGTGAGGGAAAAGCGGATCTCTGTTAGGGTCCGGTTCGATCATATTAACTTCCAAGGTGCGTCGCACTCCAGAACCCAGTCGTAGGATTTAGCCCATGCAACGGGTGCAGGAACCGCTCGCAATCCAAGTGGTCAGGTGGTGCACTTGATGGAGGTTTGGTGCCACGTAGGTCCAGAATCTGGCACTATGTTTCCCAAAGCAATGATGCAGTTGGACTGTTGGAACATGCCCTTTATCACACCAAGAGTTTGCACCCAAAACCGCCCGGCCCACTGCCCACCTGCCGAACTCCTGGACTTCTTCACCCAAAAAGTTTCACCGTGTCCACAGTTCGGCTGTCCCACCCAAACCCACTTGCCACCTCTCGTCCGCCCCCCCCCCCCCTCAAGGCCCCTGGGCCCCTGGGCCACTGGGCCCTGGGCGCCCGCCGTGCCAGGTGCCTCTCGCCACGTCAGCCGCCGCCAAAGAGGCGCCGGCGCCCAAAGAGGCGGCCACGCCGAAGAAGCGCAGCCACGGCGAGGCGCGGTTGGACTGCGCAGGGACATTTGTTTTTACGAGGGTCACTGGACAACTGGAACAGCTGTGCCACGGTCAAAGCAAACTTTCGCTGCGGCTAGGACAAGGCCGGTTATTAGTGGTTACAACGAGTTTTGACCACGGCACATTTGGCAATTTTGCTGCAGGACCCCGTGTGGGGTTGGGTGTGGACATAGTGTTCACAAGGTTTCTCAGATCCTTTGTAGGCCACCGAGATCCCAACAGACACAGACTTCAAAGGGGTTACTGCTTCAATTTTTGAACTAACATCGTGCAATCTTGTTGTTTGGCTGCAACAATTGTCACCTTCCCTTGAACCTTGTGTTTCTTTAGTATCTTGCATGGTACTGGGGGGGAAGACATCACTGGCTTCCAGCTCCCCCGTTTCTCAAATAGGGGCCAGAAAGGTTGTGGATTTCTCTGAGTATTCAAGTTGGAATCCTTTTTAGGAGCGGTCGAGTAGGTTGGCCGACTTGCAATCTTTGGACATTCAACTGTAGGCTAGTGGAATCGTTGGCAACGTCGTGGACACCCAGCCTCCCTCCAGAAGCCCAAAAGAGGCCATAAAGTCTGTTTAGAGGAAACAACGCGCAAGCCCAACTCCCCTAAGGGACCGGATTTTGAGGCCTTGAGGTTTGTTTGGGGGCATAAACAACTCCTCAGGGCCTTGCTCAGCTCTAAATCCCGGGGTTCTCCTCACGAGACTTGGGTTTCCGATACGCGCAGGCTTTTGGCTTCGAGATCCAAGAGGCTCTTCAGCTGCAGCCGGCTGCTCAGTGACTGGAGAAGCTCTGCCGGAACAACTCCTTTTTCCTTGAGGGTACCCTTTTTTGGGTTGGGTTCCCCCATTTGAGACAAAGCCATTTGTACAATTGATGGCATAGCTCCGAGAATTCACCAGCATGTCACTCAGGACGTCATGATTTCTCCCTGGAATTTGGGAGTGCAGCAGGTTGAAGTGGAGCAACGGGTCACAAGCACCAGACACATTACAAGCAGCAAGCAGCAGCAACAGCATGCGTCAGCACCAACAGCACCTCGGCAACAGCACGCCTCAGCAGCAAGCCTAAGCAACAGCCCGCCTCAGCAACAGGAACAACAGCAGCAACAAGAATGAGTGGCAACAGCAACAACAAACAAGACCAAGGACAGGAACAAAAACAAGATCAATGACACAAACAGAAAGGGCAAATATCGTAGGCAGTTCTTGTCGTTGCTCCAAGGCAGCAGCTCTTGACCGCGTTCTCGGAGGCTGAGTTCCAGGCCATTCGTGCCTTGTGATTGCCCTTTCCTGTTCTTGTGTCTCAAAGGGGCTGGGAATGACAGCATCTTCGCAATGCGATTTGTGCGCCAGGAAAACCTGAAGAGTCTGCAAGCGCAATACCCGGAGCGGAAGACCAAGGGCCACTACGACAGCTTGGCCTTCTTTGAGGCTCGGAACCTGTGGGCGGGGGATCGATTTCCCAGGCGGCGCCCTTCCAAAGGCGCCCAGGCGCGCTCGAGCCCGGAGCCCGGAGACTCGGCCCACTCGGCTCATTCGGCCCACTCGGCCCATTCGGCCCACTCGGCCCTTCAGCCTTGCCGCGTCAGGCCGCTGGCGGAAGCTAGCGCCTGGCGCAATCCGATTCATAGGCTGGAAGCCAGGCTGAGTTTGAGCCAAGAAGAGTGAAAGCTACTGCACTCTTTGGATGTGAAAGTGAGATCCGGTGCACTTTTCGAGTGTTGGGTGCATGCCCAGGGAGGTGCCCACAATTATCTCCCGCCTCGGCGGGAGACCTTTTGAGGCATGGCACTTTGGAGCAGTCGAGTACCTCGAGCTCTTCGCATCTAGGAATGGCTTGGGGAGCCGGCCTCGTGCAGATCCTGACAGGCTGAATGTGTGTGGTTTGTATATGTTTCTGTTCGTGTTGCCCTATGTCGAGGAAGTGTTTGACCTAGAGACGAGGATGGCATTGGCCGGGTGTTTGACACTGTTGCGCCAAGTCTTCTCCAGCCTTTGCAAGGATTCAATCCTGTAGGCAAATTGAGAGCCCCGTGGCACTTTTTTGCGGAGTCATTTTCGCAGTTGGGCCGTGTCTTGGTATATGTTTGTCTCTTTCTTTCCAATGCAGTTACAGCTTTCTCCGATGGTCCATCTATGTTGCTTTCTGCTTCGCGGCGCCAGAGGGCTTTGGCACCCACCCGAGCCAGCATCAGGAACGTGCGCTCGCTCGCAGGCTCCGAATGGAGAGCCAAACAGATCAGATCAGCGAAACGGTGGAGAAGCAGCCACTTGAGCTCGGAATAGCACTTGCCAGTCGCGTTGCTATATCAGGCCTCACCCCCCTCAGTGGCTTTCTATAACTCCGCTTTGCATGAACTTGGATTGTGCCACATGCGTGTTTTGTTGGAACGGAGAGCCTTAATGTTTTTGGACCAGATCTTTTCGGGAGTTTCAGCCTCTTCCTGCTGGCCAAGTTGATTGCTTGATGGCAGCCTTCATGTTCGGCGGGTTTGACTGTAATGGTACCAGCTTTTCACCCTTCGAGTAAACTAGCTTTCCCACGTCGTTCTGTGACCTGAAGTGTTTCCTGTCGTACGTTCTTCCCTTACCCCTATGCGCACCCACAGGAGTTGATGGGACATATATTTTTCCCGGAAACCAGGGGACAAGCCCTCGTTTGCCCACGTTTATCACGGGAAAAATCAGATGTTGGCCGCTCATGTCCCGCTCGATGCGTTGCCTCGCGGCTTGTCTTTGGCGCAGTCGGCAGGGCAAACTGCCTGCAGGTTCGCCGAGCGAGCCTCAACGGCCCTCGGATCCGTGCGCGGCCACCGGAAACGGCGCCGGTTGGCTGTTGGCCCCCCGTTTCACAGGCAACCTGCGCAGTTGGGTGTTTTTCCCGGAATAGGAGGATTATCCCAAAATAGGTTGATTGGTTTCATTTGATTCATTGGGTGTTTGTCCTTCTTTCTGGGTCTAAATCCGCGTCCACAAAAGTAAATGGGAAGGGCACCTCTAAGATTGGTTTGGGTTCCGCTTCAGTCGCCACCATGTCAAAGGGGGCAATTTCTAGTTTTAAACACCCCTCATTTGGCCAGCCTTCCCAATTTGTGGACTCGGTTCGCACCCCGCCCTCCCTTTTTTGTTGTCGCAGTCGAGCTTGATGCGCATAGCATAGCCAGTCCATGTGGCAGGTTCGCTGCGTATTCTGTGTCATTTGGGTTGGTCTTTCACACTTTGCATCTTGAGGACCGCCTTGGTCCGATATGCCAACATTACCTGGGTATGGAATTTCGTGGCCCCATTGGTAAAAACAGGCATATTCACTCGTCTTCGGCCATGCGGCTTAACGCCCCGATTTGTACCGGTGGTTTGGCGGCGCTGGAAACCATTTCTCCCTGGAAGTCAAAGCCTCACCAAACTCACCCGACTCATTTCCTGCCTTGCTCCGACGTGCTCGGCTGCTGGGGCAGGCCTTCAATTCATTGGCCCTCACCGTGTACACAAAGGCCAGGGGGTCTGCATGTCAGCGTTGCTATTTGCGGGTCATTTGGGTGTGAGTTGGGACTTTTAAGGGGCGACCCTTTGGTGGACATGATTCATGTCCACGAGCCACTTTCGGTGTTCCCCTTCTCGCCCAAACCCGTTACAAGGACATTTCGTGCGTGTTGACCTGGCTCCCATTTTTTGGATGTGAGTTGAAGCCCACCACGAAACACCACGATACTCCGCAAAAGGATTTTGTTTTTCCAGGATCAGCAACATTTAGTTGTCCTTGCCTGGATCCTTTCCGAAAGGCTGTGTGTGACTGGTAAACGACCAAAAGCCACAAGGCTAGCACTGGAATTGGGTTCCTCTTGTTTTCCTTTCCCAGAAAACCAAGTCCGTGTGGAATGGTTGCGCTCCCCTGGCACGAATCGAGCGAGCGCCGAGCCGCAGGTGCTGCCAGACTGGAAGCTCCAGGCCAACTGGGACGGCGTGCGAGAAATGCTGAGCAAGATGCAGGATGCCCTCACGCACCCCAAGGCCCGGCCAAAACATCGAAAGGGGATAGATGTGAGGGTCCGAAACGGGGGTCCAACAAAAGTTGAGATCCCTTTTTGGGTGGTTGAAACATCAAGTCTTGGGTGCCGATTTCAATTGAGGCTCTCGTTGGTGAAGGGAACTTTGCCAAAGGCAAGGGAAGTAGTTGGAGCGGCCAAGTTCAGGCAAAATGCATGGCTTGTAGGACCGACCTGCTTTGTGCTTGAGATTGTATAGTTCTGGAGAATTGCTCTTTCTGTACTGTTGGATTCTATGGTTCCATCTATTTTCCAGGAAATTTTGAATCCAAACCTTTTGGCAGATAGCCCCAGGTGCTTCAGTCACTCAAGATGGACCAGCCAGAAGGTTGGTTTCATGGTGGTTCCCTAGAAATGGCCGGTTTCCTTCAGGTTGCGTGTAAAGACCAACCAAAAGGGGGTGCTCTTCTCAGCCTGAGGTCAAAAAGGTGCAGGAAGAGATCAATGTGACCATGGGCTTGCCAGAGCCTGATGCGACGGCCGTTCGGAGGTTCGATCTCTGCTTTGTTTTGGCAGTGCACTCGGGATTATTTTCAGACTCTCCTGCAGATCAACATGAAACCCACAAAATCACAACGTGTTTTGGAGGAATCGCTCCTTGCGGGGACCCTTTCTGAGGTTCCATTTCAGTTTGTAGGGGAGTCACTTATCAAGCAAACGCTGCCTGTGTAAACGTGCACAGGATACCTCCTGCAGGTATGCCAAGCTAATGTGGCAAGAGGGCCAACCAGGTTTGATCTGAATGATCATTTCGACGCTACAGGCCCCTTTTCCGGACGGCTGCTGGTAAACTCCCATTTAACTGGATGTTCGGCCAAGTTGGCGAGTGGTTAGCCACTTGGAGTATAACCCGCAAGGTTAACCCCTCTAAATGCGGGACATACTTGGCCGAGCACCCAAGAGACCCTTGAAGTTTTATTCCTAACTGGTGCTTCCTCCGCCTGTGATGGCATCTCCTACCAGTCGCCGAGGCCTCGCAACGCCATCTTTGCCCCGCCGCGGCCCCGGCACGAGGGGCCTCAGCATGGGTTTGCCGGCGCTGCTGACTTTTGCGCGCCTCCAATCTGTGCTTTTGACCTTCCTGAATCCATTGGTTATGGGTAAACAAAACACATCAACGGAACGTGCCCCCAGCAACCGCGGGTGGGATTCATCACGCCTCAGACTTCCGAGACGCGGCACTTCGACAGCCTGCCACAGAAAAATCAAGAGGCACAGCCAATCTTAACCGAGATCTTCTGGAAGTAAATTCTGTGGGGCGAACTCACTCACCGCTAGACCAGGCGATTAATCAACGTTAACAGTTGGGGACACCTTCTGAACATTGCAACATTGACCGCGGCTCTTGTTAGCCAACTTAGGTTTGGCAGGGAGTATGGTGAACCCTGTGTGAAGCGCTAAACATATGTAAGTGTTACCCTTTTGTATCTACATGTATTTGGGTGGAAGCAGCCGTCTTTGGATATTTGCCCTCAGCGCCGTGTGCGTTTCAGTAAGACCCTACCTGCCAAGGCCGTCCAAGTGCTCGGAACTGTTCATCTTCAGGCGGGCAAAGAGCTGCGGGGTGCTGCATGGCTGGTCTTGAAAGCCGGCCGGCCATGGACCTTTCAGGGACATCAGCCACTTCCCCGCAGGTTCTGGTTTTGGATTTTTGCCTTCCAATAGGTTGCAACCCTGTTTTAAGGTACCCAAGGAGTCTGTAGGGTTGCACCAAGTCCCGTGCATTTCTTTGATTCGCGGCAAAGACCTTGCAGGCCTCGGCTTGCATGGTTGGCGTTGGGTTGGTGTTTTATTTCAGGTTGGTTCAACGGGAATCCAAAGAAAGACCATTGGGGGTCCAAAGCCCTATTTCAAGGCCTACCAAGCTTGTCAGCTGTGGATTGTCTCTCCACTTACCGAAAGGCAGCCAGGTGAACTTCGATCAGTCCCCATTCAGACAAGAGCCAGGGGTTCAAATGAGCCATCAAAACCCGGGTAGATGAAGGGTAAGGGACAGTCTCAACCACAAACAGGTTTTGGGTAGACCACTTTACCGGGTTTTGAGTATGACTCAACTCCCTAGCCCCCATCCCAGCTGCATTTCGAAAGCAGACTGCCCATGTAGTGGACCAGAGGCATGAAATCCTTCTGTCACCATATGTTGCATCTCATTTGGTTGGTTGCAAGGAGGACCTTGCACCTTGGGTTTGCTTATTTTTCCACCTAGGTTTAGAAGTCGATTGGTGCATATATTAATATCACCCCATCCAATGGAAACCGATGGACCTTAGAAACAAATCAAGAAGGTCAACAAACTATTGCCAGAGTCTTCCTTCATGTTCCTTTCAACCAGCAAAATGCTGTCGCTTGTTCCAGGGGTCGAAGTGTTTGGCCCAGAAAGCGGCGGCACAACGTGCCAGTGGTTGCATTTCGCTTTGGAGAGTTGACAATGTGCACTACCCATGTCGGGGGGGGGGGTAAGCTGGCAAACCACGAAGGGCAGCTTGGGCTAACATCAGGCACCACAACGAAGATCAATCTTTATTTCAACAAAAGCACGTTTTAGAAACGTAATAATAATCAACTATGACTATGACGCATGGTTTTGCTTTTGAAACAAAACATGTCTTTGACTTGACATTGACTTGAGGCAAACACTTGACGTTGCGCGGCCATTGAACATCGGGCAGGCCTGACGGCGATGGACCCGTGCCTGGCTACGCGCTGCCTTTGTTCCAAGACGAAGATGGCGACGAGGCGCACGAGTTCCTCGTTGAGGACGAGGACCGCCAGATCCCACTTCAGTGGATTCGGGGTCCCTTCAAGTCCCCTGCTGTGCGATGGGTTCCCCGGCTTGGTTCAACCAGCCACCAGAAAGGGCTCCCTGTTTTTTGTCAGGGGTACTCTGGGCAACTGGCCGGGGGTTAGGTTGCCAGTTTCTCTGACGCAGAACCCATGCTTGGGGGAAACATGTGTTTGCTGGCACATCTTCTGTGATACAATGAGAACCCGCGAAAGTGGCAAAGGCTGACAGAAAGACATCAAGCAACAATTTGCGAGTGCTCAGAAAAGACTCATATGAGCCCTAGGGGTCTGAGCGGTTCCTTTTTGGTCCTCGTCCAAATGCGATCCCAATACAATAATTGCAGTTGGGGTCGAGGAATTTGTTCGTTTACAGCCATGACACAAGACTTCGTGAATTAGATGCATTTACAAATGGAAGGCAGACATTCCATGTTGCTTCAAGAGTCAATGAAGATTTCCACCCCCAAGAAAGTGCCTGGGAACCTTGGACACTAAAAGGTTGCATCCTTGGCGTATCCGACAGGAGACCGGTGAGCTCAAGGTTCGTGGAGCATCCAGCCTGGAGCAGGACCGGTGGATTTCGGCAGGGTGGACCCTAAAGTGACAGCATGAGGTGCTGGCCCAAAATGGACTAGGACCTAGGGCCTGTAGTTGATGAGTGCTGAGGAAGAGTGGAATCACAGGAGATGTGGTACCAGGTGAACCACAAGCCAGCTGTGATGATCCGGGAACAGCCTGACGAGAAGGCGAGTGGGCGCATCCCTCGCTTTGTTTTGGCAGCACTCAGCCAACGAATTCGAGTTGGGGGTGGCGGCAGCCACACCAGTCATCGGAAAAGGGTCTGTTACTTGTTCCAAGCCTTGGCCCATTGGCCACGTGAGAGTCGCTCTAAAACCCTTGAATTGTTTCTTAGAATGAGGTTCGCTTCTTTTGGGTGGTTTGTGTAGGCTTCGAGTCGCGGAAGCCCGCGGAAGCGCGGCGGAAGCTTATGACTAAAAAGTAGCACGTGTTTAGATCCCATGCTTTCATGATTCTACGTAACGTGTTTTGTTTTTTGTTTGCAGCGCGGAAGCTCTGCGGAAGCTCCGCGGAAGCTTTGTATGTGGGAGTCGTTCTAAAGGTCCTTCTAGTACACTTGTACCACA